GGGATTTTCTTGGGTTTCTTAGCTTCAATAGGTAGTATGTTAAAGGGGTGTTCATTCATCATTGTATGTCTGGGACAAAAACTGAAAACTGGACTCTTTAAACCCCACCAGCCTATAGACCCCACCACACTGAAGACCCAACCCCACCACCCTGAAGACCCCTGCGATGTGTTACAATCGTTGTAATACCTCCTACGAGGTGTTACCACAATTTCAGAAATTCCATATCGAGTTACACAAACAGCCAGTAGGTTTATAAACCCATCCCCAACCATGTACACACTGTTCACCCCTACACCCTACTACCGTATATACCACCCCAACCATGTACACTCTGTTCACCCCTACACCCTATTCACCCCTACACTCTGTTGACCCCTACACTCTATTCACCCCTACACCCTATTCACCCCTACACTCTGTTGACCCCTACACTCTATTCACCCCTACACCCTATTCACCCCTACACTCTGTTGACCCCTACACTCTATTCACCCCTACACCCTATTCACCCCTACACTCTGTTGACCCCTACACTCTATTCACCCCTACACCCTATTCACCCCTACACTCTGTTGACCCCTACACTCTATTCACCCCTACACCCTATTCACCCCTACACTCTGTTCACCCCTACACCCTGTTCGCTGCAAGTATTTCATTGACAACCTGCAGTGCAACATGTTACAAGTTCGTAAGCTGAAGCATCACACCTGGATTGTCAGGCTCACAGAAGGTGCCATCACCGATTACCCCAATGTATGTCCAGCTTACAGACTCTCATTACGGTGGTGATGCTGAGCTGGGGTAATGCCTGCATGGAGCTGTGGCTTCATCCTGGATGTCAACATCTCAGACTCACAGCATCAAGAGTAATTACAGTAGGGCCTCTCATTGGCTGAGTCTCTGTTAGTACACGAGGTTGTATATCAGTTGTTAATCCTCCAGAATATAATCAGTCACAGCAACCAGGCTGGCTTCAGATTAGTCCGTAGGACTCCTGCTGTGGTCAGTTTCGCTGTGGCTGTGATATCTGTAGGTTTGAAAACAGGAAAACACAACTTTATCGATAACAAATTCTGGTTTAATTGCATATAGTGATGTTTTGATGTAGTTTCTCACGCTGTTATTAAGCTGGAGTGACAACAACCAAGTGATGAGAGGTATATAAACATGATATGTTGTGATAAACGGCAGATTAACATCGACAACAAGGTAATAGAAAACAAGTGGCATACAGATAATTGGATGAAGCCAAATGTACTGTAAGCATGTAAGCATAACAACTAGCACACAGGTAATGAAGCACACGGGTAATGAAGCACACGGGTAATGAAACACATGGGTAATGAAGCACATGGGTAATGAAGCACATGGGTAATGATGCACATTGGTAATGAAGCACACAGGTAATGAAGCACATGGGTAATGAAGTACACAGGTAATGAAACACACAGGTAATGAAGCACACAGGTAATGAAACACAGGTAATGAAGCACACAGGTAATGAAACACATGAGTAATGAAGCACACAGGTAATGAAACATATGAGTAATGAAGCACACAGGTAATGAAGCACACAGGTAATGAAACACAGGTAATGAAGCACACAGGTAATGAAACACATGAGTAATGAAGCACACAGGTAATGAAACATATGAGTAATGAAGCACACAGGTAATGAAGTACACAGGTAATGAAACACACAGGTAATGAAGCACACAGGTAATGAAACACAGGTAATGAAGCACACAGGTAATGAAACATATGAGTAATGAAGCACACAGGTAATGAAGCACACAGGTAATGAAACACAGGTAATGAAGCACACAGGTAATGAAACATATGAGTAATGAAGCACACAGGTAATGAAACACATGGGTAATGAAGCACACAGGTAATGAAACACATGAGTAATGAAGCACACAGGTAATGGAACACATGAGTAATGAAGCACACAGGTAATGAAGCACACAGGTAATGAAGCGCATGGGTAATGAAGCACACAGGTAATGAAGCACACAGGTAATGAAACACATGAGTAATGAAGCACACAGGTAATGAAACACATGAGTAATGAAGCACACAGGTAATGAAGCACATGGGTAATGAAGCACATGAGTAATGAAGCACACAGGTAATGAAGCACATGGGTAATGAAGCACACAGGTAATGAAGCACACAGGTAATGAAACACATGAGTAATGAAGCACACAGGTAATGAAGCACATGGGTAATGAAGCACACAGGTAATGAAGTACACAGGTAATGAAACACACAGGTAATGAAGCACACAGGTAATGAAACACACAGGTAATGAAGCACACAGGTAATGAAGCACACGGGTAATGAAGCACACAGGTAATGAAACACATGAGTAATGAAGCACACAGGTAATGAAACACATGGGTAATGAAGCACGCAGGTAATGAAGCACGTGGGTAATGAAACACATGGGTAATGAAACACACAGGTAATGAAGCACACGGGTAGTGAACCACATGGGTAATGAAGCACACAGGTAATGAAGCACACGGGTAATGAAACACATGGGTAATGAAGGACATGGGTAATGAAGCACACAGGTAATGAAGCACACGGGTAATGAAGCACACGGGTAATGAATCCAGATGTACTGTAAGGATAAGGATGAAACAAATTGTACAGTTGTGACAAGTTGATTAGATACTAAATAAAAAAGTTTATTGATCAGATCTTCATACAGTCATAGGCAACGAGAAGTAATACCCTTTATCTCTGTTGATCAAAGGTTGATCTGTAGGTCTGTCATATTCTGAACTAGGTGGGGGACATTTGGTAGATCCTCCAGGCATTTTGTTAGTATCATATGGTTGACCATAATATGCCAATTCTGTTAGGGGGAATCAAGTTTTTGACGTTATTACTTGAAAGCATTGAAGTATATGTTGGCACAACTTTTGTTTACATGATTTTAGAACACTTTGCTCCTGGACACTTCCCCAGTCAATACTTATCTGTTATGGGACATCTTCCTGAGTCAAGGGAGTTAACTTACTGTATGAGTCCAGTTTCCACCCTTGCTAGATTTTCTGGGCTCTATCATAGCGCCACCAGTGGCTATTACACGTTATGTCCCTTCTATGTCCCTCCTACTGACCAATCAGATTCCACCTCTCATATCACTTAGCATTTGCTTCAAACAAAATGGCAGCACCCAGTCAAGACAATCTGATCAATAATCAAAATCTAATCTGTAATAAAACGTGGGTAATGAAGCACACAGGTAATGAAGCACATGGGTAATGAAGCACACAGGTAATGAAGCACATGGGTAATGAAGCACATGGGTAATGAAGCACATGGGTAATGAAGCACATGGGTAATGAAGCGCACAGGTAATGAAACCTTGATTAAAATCATGAACAGATTTGGAAAGTATCTGTTGATGCCGAGTTGGCGGTTGCACAGCAGTTTATGAACCAGATTTGGATTGGCCTATGCACAGACTCATTAATTCAGCCAAAATATTACTCCCTAATTCCTGCCTAGTTCGGCAAGTGTGGTAACTGGCCTTTTACAGTCAGTTAACTCCCTTGCATGGGGAAGATGGTTATGGGATTGTTCTACATGTTCTGTGCCACCAGAAATATGTCAAGTTTTTCATAAGATAGTGGACAGTGATATATGTGCTGCAACTCATTTTCAGCCTTCATGCATTAATGATGAAATAGATATAGGATCAGGCCCAAATGAAGATCTGTCTTAAGATCATGCACTCATTGTGTGAACTGCTCATGTTGATCTTTATATTGATGTTGTTAGATTATGCTCTCTGGGTGGACTAAAGATTGATGTTAGATCATGCTCTCTGTGAGGACTTAATATTGATGCTGTTAGACCATGCTCTCTGTGAGGACTAAAGATTGATGTTAGATCATGCTCTCTGTGAGGACTAAAGATTAATTTTGTAAGAACATGCTCTCTGTGAGGACTAAATATTGATGTTGTTAGATCATGCTCTCTGTGCGGACTAACGATTGATGTTACTAGATCATGCTCTCTGTGAAGACTAAAGATTGATGTTGTTAGATCATGCTCTCTGTGAGGACTAATGATTGATGTTATTAGATCATGCTCTCTGTGAAGACTAAAGATTGATGTTGTTAGATCATGCTCTCTGTGAGGACTAAAGATTGATGCTGTTGGATCATGCTCTTTGTGAGGACTAAAGATTGATGCTGTTAGATCATGCTCTCTGTGCAGACTAAAGATTGATGTTGTTAGATCATGCTCTCTGTGCGGACTCAAGATTGATGCTGTTAGATCATGCTCTCTGTGAGGACTTAATATTGATGCTGTTAGATCATGCTCTCTGTGCGGACTAAAGATTGATGTTGTTAGATCATGCTCTCTGTGCAGACTAAAGATTGATGCTGTTAGATCATGCTCTCTGTGCGGACTAAAGATTGATGATGTTAGATCATGCTCTCTGTGAGGACTAAAGATTGATGTTGTTGGATCATGCTCTCTGTGCGGACTAAAGATTGATGTTGTTAGATCATGCTCTCTGTGAGGACTAAAGATTGATGCTGTTAGATCATGCTCTCTGTGCGGACTCAAGATTGATGCTGTTAGATCATGCTCTCTGTGCAGACTCAAGATTGATGCTGTTAGATCATGCTCTCTGTGCGGACTAAAGATTGATGCTGTAAGAACATGCTCTCTGTGCAGACTAAAGATTGATGTTGTTAGATCATGCTCTCTGTGCAGACTAAAGATTGATGTTATTAGATCATGTTCTCTGTGAGGACTAAAGATTGATGTTGTTAGATCATGCACTCTGTGCAGACTAACGATTGATGTTGTTAGATTATGCTCTCTGTGAGGACTAAAGATTGATGCTGTTAGATCATGCTCTCTGTGAGGACTATGTTTTATGTTATTAGATCATGCTCTTAGTCACATGAGGAACACTATAGTTGTTTTAGTCTTTACAACATCCTCTTTATCCGATCCAGGTATCGATGTCCTGTCTGATGTCGATGATGTTGCAGCAGTGAGGGGGCTGCGGAGACTGTCACCACAGGGACTGCAGGTGACGGAGAACTTCCCAGGCTTCAATGTCAGTGAGCAGGTAGCAGCCGAGTTCCTCAAGAGGATCTATGGTGAGATCAGCATTTCCTTCACAGCCCATACAGAGGAGGCGCACAAGATCCGCCTCCTGGAGATTTACCAACCTGGGAAGAAGCTGCCTTATTTGGAGTCGTATCTCAACACGAAGAGCGGGAACGTGGTGGTCCGCTATCAGGGAACCAAATCTTTCCAGCGGGTTGTGGTCAAGAAGGTTCTCCCTGCATGGAAATGGAGCTCTCTGGAGGTGAAGTTAAATAGAAGCAGTTTACAGGTGTCTGTGGACTGTGACAGCACACATGTCACATCGCTAAGACAACCACTTGCGCCACCACCAGAGAGAGCTGAAGTGTGGGTTGGGAGAAAAACAGAGTCTGATAAACAGATGAAGGTACAGTCTCTTTATTAGTTGTTTGATGTGTCAGGTGTGTTTGATGTGCCAGGTGTGTTTGATGTGCCAGGTGTTTTGGATGCATCAGGTGTGTTTGTTACCAGGTGTTTTTAATTCATAAGGTGTGTTTGATGTGTCAGGTGTGTTTGATGTGTCAGGTGTGTTTGATGTGCCAGGTGTGTTTGATGTGTCAGGTGTGTTTGATGTGTCAGGTGTGTTTGATGTGCCAGGTGTGTTCGATGTGTCAGGTGTGTTTGATGTGTCAGGTGTGTTTGATGTGCCAGGTGTGTTTGATGTGTCAGGTGTCAAGTGTGTTTGATGTGTCAGGTGTGTTTGATGTGTCAGGTGTGTTTGATGTGTCAGGTGTGTTTGATATGTCAGGTTTGTTTCAGGTGTCAGGTGTGTTTCATGTATCAACTGTATTCAACATGTTTTTCATGTGTGGTTCCATGCCCCTCCCTTCTACTGACCCCTATTATATCCCCTACAGGGCATTGTGTTTGATGTGAGGCTGTACCCATCAACAGGTGATCACACAGACAGGTGTAAAGACATCCTCCACTCAGGTGAGGCAGCATGGCTGGTTTGTGATGACCAGGTCTTAATTCATATGATACAAGTACATTTCAAATGAACCGCCTCCATGGTCTAGTGGTAGAGCTTCCACCTGGAGAGCAGAAGGTCTGGGGTCGATCCCCAGCCGCGTCATACCAAAAGACGTTAAAAGATGGTACTTGTTGTTACCCTGTCTGGTGCTCTGTAACGTAGAAACTAAGAATTTGAAATGAGATACTAACAAAACATGTTAACATTGTGAAATATATTTATGAAGTATTTACATGGCACATTATTAATGACATCAGGGATTTATTTAGACTTATGACGGCGGTCTGTAAATCATCAAGTCTGAACCAGACAATCCAGTGATTTATATCATGAGCATCGATCCATGCAATTGGGATCGATGGCATGCATCAACCAAGTCAGCGAGCCTGACCACATGATCCTGTTAGTCACCTCTTACGACAAGGGCACTTAGTTTGGAATCACAGTTAAAAGACATATGCACCTTGTAGTTAGTCTATCTTGTCACTTTGTTGACTGTAGGTGCGACACAGATACAGTCAGATGACGGTCAGGGTGCAAGGCGTGGCACGGGGCGCGGCACAGGACGCAGTGTCAGGCGGGATGACAACCTAGAAGATCGAGTGTTGCTGCTGGAGAGACAGCTAGCACAGCTCGTCATCACCGTGGATACGCTCAAATCTCAGGTACAATTAATGTTGTTAATGGTATCCACTGTTATTTTTGAACGTAGAGATATGTTGATATTTATACAGTGATCCCTCGCTATTGCGCTCTTCGATAAAGCGCTACCTGGGTTACTACGCGCGGTAACGCATGGCTCCCAAAATTTATGTACACTTTTATTACTGAGAGTTTTACACAGAAATAATTGTATTGTTGTTCATTGTTCATTTGCACATAACGCTTCTCATTGCATAATCAACCGTTTATCGCTGAATGGAGTTCTAATAGGCTAATCTGTTTGAAAACATCCGCGGCAAGTCCCGGAAATACGATTGTTCAACTAGTTAACTTTTCACACTATACATCCTTTGATCTTAGAAGCGCATGATTGCAATAAAAGAGAACCACAAGCGAAGTTTATATTCTTAATTAGTGGGCAATCCAATTTGAGGCGACACTGTCACACACATGTAGTTGCTGTCACAACACGGCGGTCATTCATTTCGTAATCGCGCTTTCGTAACATCGCCTGGTTTTTTTCCGTAGTCATAACAAGCGATTTCATTGGATTAAAATTTGTTTCTAATGACGCTTTCTTGCCGAAATCTGCTACAAGTTTCATGATTGGTCAATTTTGAGCACGTGACCTCAGGCAGCCAATCAAATTATAGCTGTGATACCAAGCTCGTGTTTGATAAATTTCAGAAGTTGGCGAAAGATTTTTTGTTAAATCGTGTTATTCTGAACGTTTTAAGCAGGAAATCACGATATATATTAAAAATATGGAACTTCGCGAATGTATCGTGCTAGGTTACGAGCTGTGACAAAGATTTTTCATACATATATTTTTGCATTAAACGTTGTGTCCGAGCCGAGAATTCAAGGCGACGAAAGCCGAGATGTCATTTGACTTACATTACACGCGATCGCACGAAACGATGGAAATAATATCTTAGATGTAAGTTTGATTACTTTTAGATATATTTTTCTTGATTTTATTTATCACTTTGTATATTATATTTAAAGATTTGCTTAAAACGTCTTTATTTTGCTCTTTGACATGTTCGATGCGGACCCGTTGTCGAAATGTGTGTCCGAGAATTTTATTTTCAATAACATCGCGGGAAATAGTGAATAGTTTTTTAATTTATCGATAAAAAATGATAAATTGAAATGGAATACGTATTTCAGACATTGTGAAATGTGACAGATTTAATAAATGAATGATATTACAGGTAGATCTTGGTCCATAAAAATATATACTATTTTGACGTGACGTGAGATAAACACATATTGATGATTTGAGATTTGCCGAGCGCGCTCCCCCGCCTCGGCCTCGGTTAAACGGCTCATCATCTATAACGCCCACCAATTATTTGGACCCCATTGGTAGCGTTGTAGCGAGGGACCACTGTATTATGGCAGGTGTGTAAGGGACATTTTAGACTCTGGAATAGGGCTTCAATGGGTCCAAAAATATGGACCTGAGTACCCGAGGGGTAAGACCCAGCTCGTGCTCGAGTACCCGCAATTATACATCTGTTCAATAAAATTGTCAATTATCCTATCTTATACAAAGTGAAAGAGTCACAATGACATTGTAGACAATGTGATTGCGTATCAAATAAAATACCTTTGAAATTTGTGTGCTGATTCCCAGAAGCTTCATTGAAATAGAATTTGTCAACTTGGGAAAAGAAATCGTTTACATCCCAATGTAACACACTCCATGTTCAGGGTGAAAATAATATTGCACACGTGATCATCACTTGATGTAAGTTGCGATTGGTGATTGGCTGGATTTTGGCGGGCTGGCTTCTTAGGTATACCTTATATGATAAATAAGATCATTTAATGCCAGCGCCGAAGGAAATTGTCAATAAATGACAAAATATATATTATAAGTTAAAAGTAACATTTTCAATGTTATCACAAATTCACAAGTCAGTATTTACCATTTTCTTAATTGAAAACAAAACATTGAAAGATTACTTGGCTTGTAAATTTATAGTTGACTTCTATAAGACGTTCTCCCGACATTTGAAGAGATAGTTAGAATGAGATACACTAACATAATGTTGATATTCAATAAAGTGATGTCCAGTTACAAATATCTTATAAAAATATTGAATTGATAATGATTAACGTTACGACGCTAATTTAGAATGAAAAGGTCTACTGATTGCAACAGTAAAATAGTTTCGTAAAACATCCCTTTTAAACAAGAAATAAAGTACTTTTTTAAACCAGGAAATATCCTTATAAAATGGCTGTAAATAAGAATAGTGTTGCGAAAAATTATTAAAAGAAAAGCTATTGACACTTTTATTTGATTTAATTGATGATCCATGAAAAAGAAAGTTACATGAAGACACGTTTCTATTAACTTATTGAAAGTCGACCAAATTAGAGTTATCTCCCTTGGTCGAGTACTTGAGTCCTTCAAACTGGACTCGAGTCCCACTAAACTCGGCCCGTGCCCGAGTACTCGAGTACTCTTTGAAGCCCTATTCTGGAACCTATGATAAATTGAATTTTATATGCAAGCTTTTTGTTCCACTTTAAAGAATTTTTCTACAGAAAGCAGAAAGAACCCTGAAATAATCATTTTTCTGAAAATTACAAAAATAACATTTTCTGCATACAGTGATCCCTCGCTACAACGCTACCTTCGGGGTCCAAATAATTGATGAGCGTTATAGATGATCAGCGGTTTAACGAAGGTCGAGTCGTAAGTGGTAGATGACCAACAAAACAGTATACATGCTCTGCCTACCTAACACAATCTACGTTGCACGTTTCAGAGTTTCAAAAATGATTAGAATAGAAGTTATTTATGATTCATAGTGTAAAAAGAGATGTATCGAGTATTAATATGCGCTTTAAAAAAACCCACATCGTATCCCTTCAGCGAATATAGCCAAGTTAGCGCTATATTGAAGAGCGCAATAACGAGGGAACACTGTATTTAGTATCAAAGCTGGAATTGTAAGTATACCGTATTTGATGTAATAAGTGCCCAGGGCTCTCTCAAAATTAGAAAGAAGGGGCTCTTATTAGAATGGTATTTTGGTGAAAAAAAACCTTGAAAGATAAATTTCGTGGTTTATGCTGACAGCCTGAAATGTTTATGTACGACAGATATATTTTTCCAGAATTTAATTGCCCATAATTAAGGGTGCATATAACACACGAGTGCGTATTAAACACGAATAAATACATCTTTTGTAAATTGATCAATTGGAAGGGGTGCTAATTGGGATTGTTCACGTGCCAATATATTAGCCAATATCGCCGTGGCGCTTATTAGGACGGGGCGCTTATTACGTCGAATACGGTACTTGTTATCTGGACCTTATTTGAGCTAATATAGGAAGGCTTAGGATGTGAAGGTCTGTTGTGTGATGTGTGATAACTGTCATGTTGATGTTCTTCTTCAGAATACAGACCTGAGTAACCGAGTGGCGTTCCTAGAGACATGCGAGTGTCGCCCCCTATGTTCCCACGGCGGAGTGGTCTACGAGGAGGGACAGACCTGGTCACGTGACCTGTGTACGGTCTGTCAGTGTGTGGTGTGTACTTCTTTCTCAAACTAGCTGAATACTTGTCTTTAAGAAAGTGTCACTCGGATCATCATTATAAGTAAAACAAATAATTAAATTTAAGATTGGAAAAATCAGATTCAACATAAACCTCTTTGTGTGGTGGTATGTTTTTTTCTTCAGTCCAGTTGTCTCCCTTTGTCCTGCTTGCCATGTAATATCAGCATACATCTGTGTTTCAGGGCGGCCAACCAGAATGTAGCGTGCGCCCGGACATACCGTCCTGTCAGAGTGAGTGACGATAGTTCATACTCGCTACCACTCATTTCACCTCAATACTTAATGTGACAGTTATTCTCAGTAAACAGTAGATTTATGTGAAGTCCACAGATGCATCAGTTTATGAATTAAATTTTCTTGCAATTTGAATTTGTATTTGTTTTTAATTTCAATACTTTTCATCCCACCTTGTCAGTGTGAGCTTATGTTATAGGTCTTCATCTGTCAATATGATCATGATGATTCATTAGCACTGAAACTTAAATTTGTTTCTTCTACAAATCTACTGGACATATCAATATCCTTTTCACAGGAAAATTTCAAAATGGTTGCCGCAGTGGCTCAGTTTCGTAAACATACAGTCTTCTCGCCAATCTCTTCTCAAAAACAACCAGACATATTTTTTTCAAATATTCAGGATTTTTTTAAAGTCCTTTGTAATGAAGGAAGGTTTTGATTTTGAAAATGTTGTCATGGTGCTTGTTAGGAATATCCAATTATTTCTTCTAAATGCTTACTGTACAAGTCAGAATTTACACAATGTCATATAACCCTGTATACCATATTTTCTTGCCTATACTGCGCACTTTTTCCCCAAAAAAACACATCTGTGTAGAAGGGGGTGCGGATTATACACGCCATAATGAGTTTTGATGTTTTTTCCCCCCAACGCAAAGAAATTTCCGTGAGCACGTAACACCGGAAATACCATATCAACAAATTCGTACTGAAGTACACAATGTAAAAAGTGTTCATTGTATATCTCGACTTATGTTTGTAACTTATTTCATTAGTTTTATTCAAAATTCCGTTTAATATTGTTTTAATTAATTAAGGCAAAATCGTGTGTGAACATGGTCAGATTACTGCTATTGATGCCTTGAAATGAACTTCAGTTGACAGAGAATGGATACATATATCATAAATGCCATATTTTGTCTTGTTAAAAGTCATATTTGTTGTAGTTTGATGATTCTATGTCCACATGTAGATCTCTCGCGATCATGTGTGCGGGAGCCTCGACGGTGACTGGTCAAATTGTTCCATGTGAAGAAAAATAACCGGCAATAGCGATCAGCGGCACCGAAATGCTACGCTTAGGGTTATTATTATTTTAAATATATTTAGTAAAAGCTGCGACTAAAATAACGTGATATTGGAATATAATATTCCCGATAAAAAAATAGTTTCAGATGCAATATTTCCCGATCCTTGCATAAAAATCCTTTAAAGTTATATCATTGGGTAAGTTTTAACCAAATCACCTGTAGATTTCAAGAAAACGTGTGTACAGCTGATTGCTGTTTCTGGCTTAGTTTACGAGAAAATGCACAAGGTAATCTTAATCCCTGCATGTAAAACAATGCCTAGCAAAACAGAAAATACTTAAAACGGTAAATCATCATGTCTGGTGATTTTTTATCTCAAATTTCAAATTTGTACATGACCAAGTGTCTTATCACCCGTTCGTTTACCGGAAATCGTTGAAGAGGTACGGTGTAATTTTTTTCTGCGCTTAATATTTGATTTTTTTAATTCAAAATACTGAATCCGCTAGAGGGGGTACACATTAAACTAAAAGAAATACTGTAGTTAAAGGGTTTAATCTGTTATGTGATTGGTTGACTCAGAAGGTCAAGGTCATTACTTTTGAAATTAGCATGCTTACGGTTTATGACCTCGGAGATTGGAGATTTTATGATAATTGAGGAACACCTGACCTCATCGTCAAGGCCATCCTTGAATAAGCTTTATGTGACTTTTATGAAAGTATGTAACTCACGATGGTATAAAAAGGCAATTTATTCTGGAAAGTTTTAATGTTGCAGGCTGCTATGATAAGGCTATAGTTTTGTTTGTTTGTTGTTTAAAGCCATGCTCAACAATATTCCAGCTATATTATGGCGGTGATATAGCTATAGTATTACCTGTTGGTATGGCTATAGTACTATAACTGCTGTGATATGGCTATAGTACTGCATACTGCTGTGATATGGCTATAGTACTGCATACTGCTGTGATATGGCTATAGTACTGAATATTGCTGTGATATGGCTATAGTACTGAATATTGCTGGGTATGGCTATAATACTGCATACTGCTGTGATATGGCTATAGTACTGCATACTGCTGTGATATTGCTATACTACTGAATATTGCTGTGATATGGCTATAGTACTGAATATTGCTGTGATATGGCTATAGAATGCCATACTGCTCAGCTGTGATATGGCTATAGTATTGAATATTGCTGTTATATGGCTATAGTACTACATACTGCTGTGATATGGCTATAGTACTGAATATTGCTTTGGTATGGCTATAGTGCTGAATATTGCTGTGATATGGCTATAGTACTGAATATTGCTTTGGTATGGCTATAGTACTACATACTGCTGTGATATGGCTATAGTACTGAATACTGCTGTGATATGGCTATACATGTAGTACTACATACTGCTGTTATATGGCTATAGTACTGAATACTGCTGTGATATGGCTATAGTACTGAATACTGCTGTGATATGGCTATTGTACTACATACTGCTGTGATATGGCTATTGTACTACATACTGCTGTGATATGGCTATTGTACTACATACTGCTGTGATATGGCTATCGTACCGCAAACTGCTGTGATATGGCTATGGTACCACATACTGCTGTGATATGGCTATAGTACTGAATACTGCTGTGATATGGCTATTGTACTACATACTGCTGTGATATGGCTATAGTATTGCATACTGCTGTGATATGGCCATTGTACTACATACTGCTGTGGCTACAGTGTTGTATACTGCTGTGATATAGCTATATATGTGTTGGCTGTAGTCCATATTCTGGTCTGCGAGACCTGACTGTAGCTAGTCATGTGACCCAGGACACTCTCTGGTGTCGGACATCGTAACCCGTCTACACACCACTGAGCTCCCATTCTTTGTCTATAATCAGCTGGTAATTTGGAGATGTAGTGGAAAATCCGGTATAGCAGGTCGCTGTGGTATGGCTACAGTCTTTAAGACTGCTGTGGTATGGCTCCAGTGAAGCAGACTGCTGTGGTATGGCTCTAGTGTAGCAGACTGCTGTGGTATGGCTACAGTGTAGCAGACTGCTGTGGTATGGCTACAGTCTTACAGACTGCTGTGGTATGGCTACAGTATTTCATACTGCTGTGGTATTGCTCCAGTGTAGCAGACTGCTGTGGTATGGCTCCAGTGCAGCAGACTGACGTAATATGGCTATGGTATTGCTGGCTGCTGTGATCACAATGATCACTATGACAACACCATGATTCTATGACATCACAATGACTGAGACCATGACGACACTATGACATAATAATATGAGAATGTGATACTGACAGTCACTGCCAGAAGGAAGGCGACATTGTAAAGGATTGAGAGAAATATGTGATGGTTTGTTTCACCCTTATGGTGGTTATTGTGTCTGCCTTGTTGACCTCTGACTCACTGTCTCCACAGCTCCCTGCCTAAGTTCCCCCTGCTCTGCACATGGCTCCTGCCATGACCTTGAACCTACTGCCGGCAGCTTCCAGTGTCAGTGTCAGCCTCCATATGATGGCCCGACATGTCAGACACGACGGAACCCATGTGTCTGGGGCCCAGAGCCAGGATCCTGCAACCAGACCATCCCACGCTACTTCTACAACCGATTTTCCCAAGGATGTGACACCTTTAACTACACAGGTAGGAATTTGACACCTTTAACTCCACAGGTAGGAATTTGACACCTTTAACTACACAGATAGGGATTTAACACCTTAAACCACACAGGTAGGAATTTGAAACCTTTAACTACACTGGTAGGGATTTGACACCTTTAACTAAACAGGTAGGTGTTTTACACATTTAACTAGAAAGGTAGGTATGTGACACCTTTAACTACACAGATAGGAATTTACACATTTAACTACACTTGTAGGGATTTGACACCTTTAACTATACAGGTAGGAGTTTTACACATTTATCTAGAAAGGTAGGTATGTGACATCTTTAGCTACACAGGTAGGGATTTAACACATGTAACTACACAGGTAGGGATTAAACACATGTAACTACACATGTAGGGATTAAACACATGTAACTACACATGTAGGGATTAAACATGTGTAACTACACAGGTAGGGATTAAACACATGTAACTACATATGTAGGAATTTAACACATGTAACTACACATGTAGGGATTTTACACATGTAACTACACAGGTAGGAATTTAACATATGTAACTACACATGTAGGGATTTCACACATGTAACTACACAGGTAGGGATTTCCCACATGTAACTACACAGGTAGGGATTTAACACACACAACCACACAGGTAGGGAATTAACACATGTAACTACACAGGTAGGGATTTTGCACATGTAACTACACAGGTAGGGATTTCCCACATGTAACCACACAGGTAGGGAATTAACACATGTAACTACACAGGTAGGGATTTTGCACATGTAACTACACAGGTAGGGATTTCACACATGTAACTACACAGGTAGGGAATTAACACATGTAATTACACAGGTAGGGATTTCACACATGTAACTACACAGGTAGGGATTTCGCACATGTAACTACACGTAGGGATTTCACACATGTAACTACACAGGTAGGGATTTCACACATGTAACTACACAGGTAGGGATTTAACACATGTAACTACACAGGTAGGGATTTCCCACATGTAACTACACAGGTAGGGATTTCACACATGTAACTACACAGGTAGGGAATTAACACGTGTAACTACACAGGTAGGAGTTTTAACACATGTAACTACACAGGTAGGGATTTGACACCTTTAACTACACAGGTAGGGATTTTACACATGTAACTACACAGGTAGGGATTTCACACATGTTTCTACACAGGTAGGGATTTCACACATGTAACTACACAGGTAGGGATTTCACACATGTAACTACACAGGTAGGCATTTAACACATGTAACCACACAGGTAGGGATTTCGCACATGTAACTACACAGGTAGGGATTTAACACACGCAACTACACAGGTAGGGAATTAACACGTGTAACTACACAGGTAGGAGTTTTAACACATGTAACTACACAGGTAGGGATTTTGCACCTTTAACTACACAGGTAGGGATTTTACACATGTAACTACACAGGTAGGGATTTCACACATGTTTCTACACAGGTAGGGATTTAACACATGTAACTACACAGGTAGGGAATTAACACATGGAACTACACAGGTAGGCATTTAACACATGTAACTACACATGCAACTAGGGATTTGAAACCTTTAAACTACACAGGTAGGTATTTCACACATGTAACTACACAGGTAGGGATTTTCCACATGTAACTACACAGGTAGGGATTTCACACATGTAACTACACAGGTAGGGATTTAACACATGTAACTACACATGTAGGTATTTAACACATGTAACTACACAGGTAGGGAATTAACACATGTTTCTACACAGGTAGGGATTTAACACATGTAACTACACAGGTAGGGAATTAACACATGGAACTACACAGGTAGGGATTTAACACATGTAACTACACATGTAGGTATTTAACACATGTAACTACACATGCAACTAGGGATTTGAAACCTTTAACTACACAGGTAGGTATTTGACACCTTTAACTACACAGGTAGGGATTTGACACCTTTAACTACACAGGTAGGGATTTGATACCTTCACCTGCCACTTCTATATTTTCCTATTTGTAGGTAGATGATATGTAGATGACATGTGGTGTATATGATGCCTGGTGTCAGGAGTGTGCTTTTTAGGGTTAGCTGTATTGAATCCTGATTCTTGTTTAAGGTTGTGGAGGCAACATCAACAACTATCCCACCATGGATCAGTGCAATGACACCTCAATGCATGGTGCCTGTTGCTACCGACGATATTCTACCACACTGGTGGACATTGTGCAGAGTGACCAGCAGCTGGAGATCAGATGTGAGGTATGTATGAGTGGTGAGAGATCGGGTGTGAGGTATATACCAGTTGTATAGAGACTAGAGATCAGATGTGAGGTATATACCAGTTGTATAGAGACTAGAGATCAGATGTGAGGTATGAGTGACTGGGATAGAGACTAGAGATCAGATGTGAGGTATGCGTCAGTGGTATAGAGACCAGAGATCAGATGTGAGGTATGAGTGACTTGGATAGAGACTAGACATCAGATGTGAGGTATGCGTCAGTGGTATAGAGACTAGAGATCAGATGTGAGGTATGTACTGGTGGTATAGAGACTAGAGATCAGGTGTGAGGTATGTATCAGTGATATAGAGACTAGAGATCAGATGTGAGGTATGTATGAGTGGTATAGAGACTAGAGATCAGGTGTGAGGTATGTATGAGTGGTATAGAGACCAGAGATCAGATGTGAGGTATGAGTGACTGGGATAGAGACTAGACATCAGATGTGAGGTATGCGTCAGTGGTATAGGGACTTGAGATCAGATGTGAGGTATGTACCGGTGGTACAGAGACTATAGGTCAGATGAGAGGTATGTATGAGTGGTATAGAGACCAGAGATCTGATGTGAGGTATGTGTCAGTGGTATAGAGACTAGAGATCAGATGTGAGGTATGAGGGACTGGGATAGAGACAAGAGATCTTCTGTGAGGTATGAGTGACTGGGATAGAGAGTGGAGATCTACTGTGAGGTTTAAGTCACTGTGATAAATACTTTAGATCAGATGTGGGTGTTACTGGATTTAACTATCAGAATATGTAAACCATTTAGTAGGATGAAAAAAGGCTTTGCATTACTAACAGGGCATGTGTGTTATTCAGAAACTTCATGTTGGAGCCTGCAAGTCTCTGCACCGTCAACCAGATGGAGATTTTGAGACAGAGGTGATCAGCTTCTACCCGGGGATGACCTGTGAGGAGGCTGGGTGTGTCACAGCAGGTGCTTGTGTGGTGGGAGGGCTTATTGAGCCAGTGGACTCGAAGTTCCGTCTCGGGTGTGAGGACTGTTCCTGTCTGCCTGGTGGACAGGTGGAGTGCAGGTGAGTGGGTGGGATAGGTAGAGTGCAGAAGATTGAGTTGTGAGTTAAGCATATTAAACGCCTGAGATGTGAAACCTGATGTGGTTGTGAGATGTTTTCATTAGATGATAATTAATTGGACAAAATGAATGTTTCTCCCTGAAATACCACAGAATTGTAATCATTTTGCTGCATACCAAAACAGGCATGACAAGACCCTTGTTTGTTTTCCTGCAGCTGTAAGCACCGCAGTGTGAGGAAAGAGATCCGGGATATGACGAGGATCGAGATGGTCCGTTTCCAGAATGCAGTCCGCATCCTGCGTGAAGACAACACCACCAGCGTGTGGGAGTCGTTGCGGGACCTCTACATGACACACAGCATGCACGCCAGCGGGGGGGCCTACTTCCTTCCCTGGCATCGCTACTTCCTGCGCGACATTGAAAGGAAGCTCCAGGAGGTTGACTGCGACATCAGCATCCCATACTTCGACTTCACCACAGATATCGGCAACATGGCTGACGCGATTGTGTGGCAGCCAAGCTACTTCGGTGGAGACGGCGAAGGGTCCGACAATTGCGTGTCCGACTTACCGTTCGGAGGCCCTGGGACGTGGGCGCCATGTGTAATGAGAAGTTTTAACACAAGTGTCCACCTGCCATCACAGCTAGAACTGGCATTAGCACTGGCCAGCGAAGACTACATGGAGATGAGTCTTTGTCTGGAGACATACGTCGCCTATCTCCACACCTTCATCGGCGGGGACATGGCGACCACATCCAGTGTATATGACCCAGTGTTTCTCGCTATTCATGCCTACATCGACCACCTCTACTGGACCTGGCAGCTGAAGGATCAGAACATGTTCAAATTCCCAGCAGCCTTTGGGAGCATTCCCATGATTCCTTTCAATGTAGCTCCTCGGGATGTGTTCGACCTTGACAATCTGTGTGTGACCTATGTTCTCCCTTCTAAAGGTCACCCGTGTAACAAGACTGACCTTGTCCTGAGGCCATCAAGGCCAGGTGTGCAACGAGGGGACATCAACCCTGAGTTGGCGTATGGCGTGGACAGCTATGACCAGTTCGGGTATGATGAGGATGGATATGACAGGCTTGGATATGACATATTTGGTTATAATCTAGATGGTACGTTTACTGAAGATAAATTTTGCATGGGTTGTATAGATTTTGTTGACTTAATCTTGTTAATTTTCTTCTCATAAAAGTATTATTCTTAAAGCTTGAATAGTAAGAATATTTTTTAAGGAGGAATTTCTAGTCAGGCAAAATTACCCCATAATGCATTTATTACCCCTCCTTGTGCAAACTAAAAACCTAACATTGTTGTCGCTTAAAATATTCAGAACATGTGAGGAATATGGTCAAGAGTTTGAGGATTTTGTTGCCTGATAGTTGTGATATTTTCTCCAGGGTTTAACAGAGATGGTGTCAACAGATATGGATATGATGTGAATGAGATCGGAAGGTTTGGCCTTGACCGGGATGGATATGATCTCCATGGTTTCAACACTGAAGGCCGAGACAGGAGTGGTAACCCAGACACGTCAGGAAGGTTTGGGAGGGATGGACTGAACCAGTGGTGTCTCACACGTGGAGGTGAGAGCTTTTCCTGATCTATGCTTCTCACAGGGGTTGAGAGGAGGCAGATCTATGCTTGGCTTCTCACAGGGGTTGAGAAAGGGCAGATTATACTTGGCTTTTCACAGGGGTTGAGAAGGGGTAGATCTATGCTTGGCTTCACGCAGGGTGGGGAGTGGATGTCAGAGTTATACTCACCAGGAGTGGTGCAGGCCTATATCAGTCGGGCATTTGGGTTGGATGGGGAGAATCTTGAGGACAGGAGGTGTGAAAGTGAAGTGTTGATACCTTTCAATGGAGTATAGATGAGGATGGTAAGGAGACAATCACAATGAATACAGCAATATATCAATAGCTCCTTCAGGCTTGCAGAGTTATAATCTGTGCATTTGTTTCCTGGCAGGTTTGAACCGGGATGGCTATGATCAATATGGCTTCACTGTACATGGGTATGATGCTGAGTACTGCAACTACCTCAACAATGGCCCGTACGCCACCATCTACTCCATGAAGATCTTCGACATCCTCAAGCGGCAAGGAAAGGGCTTCTTGATGTCTCTGCCCCGAGTCTGCCCCGGGCTGGAACCCCTCCCTTCCCAGTGGGTGGAGCAGTACTGGGCCACCAACATCAAGGATGTCACAGGTAGGTCAAACTTACATATTTTCATGGAACAGGCTTGCTTGAGTATTTTATTATGCTAAAAATTGGAAATTTCTGGCAATCTACCTCATAGAAATTTATCATCAATTGATCAGTTGAAATGGACTTCTTATTACAAATGATCAATGATGAAATTCCAAACAACTCCCAACTCTATTACTATACAAGGATTTATCTAGACCTGTACAGAGGTTAAAGTTCAGCTCCAAGTCTGCAGCAAATAACAGTAAGTATTACCAATGTGAAATAAAATTTCGCAATTTCTCAGAATTTACTAAATTAAGAAAATGTTTATAATCTAATTGTGAACAATATCACAGTTTTTTTCCCAATTTGCCAAAGGCACAGTTTGAAATCCCAGATAAATCCTTGCTGTATATACTATCTTGAAACATACAACATCTAGAAATGCAGACAAAATCACAAGTGATCCACCAGAGAATGTTCTGTCCTGAAATAATCATTGTGCTGTACACCATGCAGAAAGGCAGGCTAGCTGTTTCCTCAGTAAGAAATGACTGTTTTAGATAAAATGTTTCTATTCTCCAGGAATGGTTCCTGTGAACATGTCTGTCCAGACATCACTGCCATCCTCACGGTTCTGTTTTGACGTGGACCAGTTCATTAGCCCATGTCCATGTGACAAGCCCATTGCAACGTGCTCCACCAACCCCTGTGCAGGTGCCACATGTCGGGCCTTCCCAGGGGCGCAGTGCCAGGTCAGCTTCTGTGGGGAGTGCTCTGCCCAGTGGTTCTACAACAACATGGTGGTGGACTGCCAGGAGGAGAGAGGTAGGGGAACACTTGCAGGGCATCAGTGACCTAGGGGAACACTTGCAGGGCATCAGTGACCTAGGGGAACACTTGCAGGGCATCGGTGATGTAGGGGAACACTTGCAGGGCATCACTGACCTAGGGGAACACTTGCAGGGCATCAGTGACCTAGGGGAACACTTGCAGGTCATCAGTGATGTAGGGGAACACTTGCAGGGCATCACTGACCTAGGGGAACACTTGCAGGGCATCAGTGACCTAGGGGTACACTTGCAGGGCATCATTGACCTAGGGGAACACTTGCAGGGCATCAGTGATGTAGGGGGACACTTGCAGGTCATCGGTGATGTAGGGGAACACTTGCAGGGCATCAGTGATGTAGGGGGACACTTGCAGGGCATCAGTGACCTAGGGGAACACTTGCAGGTCATCATTGATGTAGGGGAACACTAGCAGGGCATCGGTGATGTAGGGGAACACTAGCAGGGCATCAGTGACCTAGGGGAACACTTGCAGGGCATCAGTGATGAAGGGGATGCTATGTGAGGTCATCTTCACCAAGGGGATGTCATGGTGAGGTCATCTTGACTAAGGGGATGTCATGGTGAGGTCATCAGTGACCAAGGTGATATTATGGTGAGATCATCAGTGATCAAGGGGATGTTTTGGTGAGGTCATCAGTGATCAAGGGGATGTTATGGTGAGGACATCAGTGATCAAGGGGATGTTTTGGTGAGGTCATCAGTGATCAAGGGGATGTTATGGTGAGGTCATCAGTGATCAAGGGGATGTTTTGGTGAGGTCATCAGTGATCAAGGGGATGTTATGGTGAGGACATCAGTGATCAAGGGGATGTTTTGGTGAGGTCATCAGTGATCAAGGGGATGCTATGTGAGGTCATCTTCACCAAGGGGATGTCATGGTGAGGTCATCTTGACTAAGGGGATGTCATGGTGAGGTCATCTTGACTAAGGGGATGTCATGGTGAGGTCATCAGTGACCAAGGTGATATTATGGTGAGATCATCTGTGGTGAGGTCATCAGTGATCAAGGGGATGTTATGGTGAGGTCATCAGTGATCAAGGGGATGTTATGGTGAGGACATCAGTGATCAAGGGGATGTTTTGGTGAGGTCATCAGTGATCAAAGGGATGTTATGGTGAGGTCATCACTGATCAAGGGGATGTTATGGTGAGGTCATCAGTGATCAAGGGGATGTTATGGTGAGGTCATCACTGATCAAGGGGATGTTATGGTGAGGTCATCAGTGATCAAAGGGATGTTATGGTGAGGTCATCCGTGATCAAAGGGATGTTATGGTGAGGACATCAGTGATCAAGGTGATGTTCTGCTAAGGCCGTCAGAGTTGACCTGAGGGTTCTTCTGCTATAACCCGACAGGAAATGTTTGTAGTCCACTGAGTCAGTGGCGATTTTGCTGACATGAGCCTCTCTATGAATCTTGTAGTGAGCCTCTCCAAATTTTTCCAAATAATAGGGACTTGTTTGTTTGTTATATAACATTAAGGGCCACATTTCAAAAACTGTCGGCCCAAACATTTTAGGTGAAGCAGGGAGACATACTCTTGCTATATAAATTACCGGTACAACACACAACCAGTCAACTAGAAGCTATTACTGCCATCACACTGAGTTCCCAGAGACTCTGTGGGGAGACATGAAGCCAACATTTGGCAAGGAAATTATCAGATTGTAAAACATCTTTGCAACTACATGTCATACACCATTTGAACGGTCTGATACTACTGTTTATTAATATGAAAGTTATGTTTGTCACATTATATAAATAATGCATTAATAATTTAATTAGTTTGTTTTAAATAAAACAAATTAAGCTGACACATTCATAACGTCCAGATAAGCACCAAGGAAGTGAAAATTGTTGCGATTTTACGATTTCATAATTGAAATTATTTTGATTGTTAAAGTAATCAGAAAATGATGACCCAAAAATTTTAAGTATGATCTATCATCACATATTTCCTGATAATAGTGGCTTTCCGCTCAGTGACAAAATTTTGAATAAATAACATGTGCGAAGATTCATTTGATGTTTGGTAACGTTAGAAAGTTCTGAACTTCAATAATATTACAGTAACCCCTCCAGGAGTATTTTCATAGCTGTAACATGCAATTTTAGTGGAAAGAAATCGGTTTCAAGTGACGCTTTTGCCATAATCTCATACAAAGATCGTGATTGGTCAAAATCAGGCACATGACCTAAGGCAGCCAATCAATTTACAGCAAATGGATACCGTCCTGTACAATATATGTAAGATTTAGACGAAAGTCTTTGGTTAAATCATGTTTTTTTTAACGTTTTAAGCACTAATTCACTACCTTTGTTTCAAATATGGACATATAATGCTAGGCAACAACCCGTGACAAAGATTGTTCATGCATGAGATGTCATTTGACTTACATTACACGATCGGACAAAAAGATGGAAATAGTAACTTAGGTGTTAGGTGTAACTTAGGTGTCTGAATAAATATCAGATTATGTCGTCTGGATGGTTGCTGTTGAATGTCACTTGTTGAATATGGTTGACATTATATCCAGCAATGTGTCACTTATCCTATTTCATCAGTGATGTGGGGCGGTCGGGTAGCCTAGTGGTTAAAGTGTTCGCTTATCACACTGAAGACCCGGGTTCGATTCCCGACATGGGTAAAATGTGTGAAGCCCATTTCTGGTGTCCCCCTCCGTGATATCGCTGGAATATTGCTAAAAGCGGCATAAAACCATACTCACTCAGTCACTCATCAGTGATGCACCAAATGTCTTCTATTCCAGACTTCTGCAACCCAAACCCGTGTGAGCATGGCGGGACCTGTATGGAGTCCATCTGGATCAACGAGCCGCACCTTGTCACATGCATTTGTCCCCCGGGATACGACGGCCATCTTTGTCAGTATGAAGTGGAGGACGCCTGTACACTGCCCCTCAGTACTGGTAGGTCTCCTGTATACTGCCCCTCAGTACTGGTAGGTCTCCTGTACACTGCCCCTCAGTACCGGTAGGTCTCCTGCCCCTAAGTACTGGAAGGTCTCCTGCATACTGCTCCTCAGTACTGGTAGGTCTCCTGTAAACTGCCCCTCAGTACTGGTAGGTCTCCTGTACACTGCCCCTTAGTACTGGTAGGTCTCCTGCCCCTCAGTACTGGTAGGTCTCTTGTACACTACCCATCAGTACCAGTAGGCCTCCTGTACACTGCCCCTCAGTACTGGTAGGTCTCCTGTACACTGCCCCTTAGTACTGGTAGGTCTCCTGCCTTTAGTACTCGGATGTCTCCTGTACACTGCCCCTCAGTACTGGTAGGTCTCCTGTATACTGCCCCTCAGTACTGGTAGGTCTTCTGCCCCTCAGTACTGGTAGGTCTTCTGCCCCTTAGTACTGGTAGGTCTCCTGTACATTGCCCCTTAGTACTGGTAGGTCTCCTGTACATTGCCCCTTAGTACTGGTAGGTTTCCTGCCCCTCAGTACCGGTAGGTCTCCTGTATACTGCCCCTTAGTACTGGTAGGTCTTCTGCCCCTTAGTACTGGTAGGTCTCCTGTACATTGCCCCTTAGTACTGGTAGGTCTCCTGCCCCTCAGTACTGGTAGGTCTCCTGTATACTGCCCCTTAGTACTGGTAGGTCTTCTGCCCCTCAGTACTGGTAGGTCTCCTGTACACTGCCCCTTAGTACTGGTAGGTCTCCTGCCCCTCAGTACTGGTAGGTCTCCTGTATACTGCCCCTTAGTACTGGTAGGTCTCGTGCCCCTCAGTACTGGTAGGTCTCCTGTACACTGCCCCTCAGTACTGGTAGGTCTCCTGTATACTGCCCCTCAGTACTGGCATATTCCCTTCATAGCACTGTGGGTATTGGTAGTTCTTCTGAATACTGCCACTGAGTGCTTTTACACTGTACATATGCCTGTGTATATGACAATATGTTCTGAAGTTGAATTCTATCTCTTACATCAGGTTTGTTTGTTTGTTTTTTACTGCCGCTCTTAGCAATATTCCACCTATATGAGAACGGCCTCTAAATAATCAAGTCTGGACCAGATAATCCACATGGATTGCTGAAAACCTATTCTTACCCAGATCTTCCTGGGTCCTGGCCTTCATGAAATAATGTGAAAAGTTGGAACACGATGACATGCATCAACCAAGTCAGCAAGCCTGACCACCCAAGGCTTACCTCTTACGACAAGCATGGGTTGCTGAAGATTAATTCTAACCTGGATGACCAGTGAAGATTTCGGGGTAGAATAGGTCTTCAGCAACCCATGCTTGCCGTAAAAGGTGACTTTGCTTGTCGTAAAAGGCGACTAACGGGATCGGGTGGTCAGGCTCGCTGACTTGGTTGATACATGTCATCGATTCCAATTGCATGGATCGATGCTCATGATATCAATCAATGGATTGTCTGGTCCTGACTCAATTATTTACAGACTGCCGTCATATAGCTGGAATATTGCTGAATGCGGCGTTAAACAACCAACCAACCAACGACCAACTAACCTGGATCTCCACGGGTTCTTACGTCATGATGTGTATGCATACAAATATTTCTGCAGGATATAACTCCAGTATGGAGTTGAGTGTAAAACTGAGGCACGGACACATCTGTCAAGGAGAGAAGAGTGATCAGAAACGCTGTATGTAGTTCAGTGTATCCTGTCATGCTCACTGCACTGGTATTCTGAGTTGTTTTGTATATATCCCTGCAGGTGGCTGCAGCGCCCGGGAGACTCGCTGGTACTTCGACTACCGTCAACAGAAGTGTCTGGAGTTCATCTACACTGGTTGTGGCGGCAACGGTAACAACTTCGCCAGCATCAACTCCTGCCAGGCGCGTTGTCTCATTGGAGCATGCTGCTACCGAGAACCCCTCTTCCCAGAAAGAATCATTGGATATGACAGACAGGGATATGACAGGTCTGGGGATACCTCTTCATGAGACACAGTTAAAGGACTTTCGATATGCTAGTATGATGGGGATATCCCTAAATGAGACACGGTTAAATAGACTTTTTGATATGCTAGTATGATGGGGGATATCCCTACATGAGACACAGTTAAATGGATTTTTCGATATGCTAGTATGATGAGGGATATCTCTTCATGAGACACAGTTAAATGGACTTTCGATATGGTAGTATGCTGGGTGATATCTCTTCTTGAGACATGGTTAAATGGACTTTTCATTATGCTAGTATGATGGGGATATCCCTAAATGAGACACGGTTAAATAGACCTTTCGATATGCTAGTATGCTGGGGGATATCCCTACATGAGACACGGTTAAATGGACTTTTCGATATGCTAGTTTGCTTGGGGATATCTCTTCATGAGACACGGTTAAATGCACTTTTCGATATGCTAGTTTGCTTGGGGATATCTCTTCATGAGACACAGTTAAATGCACTTTTGATATGCTAGTATGATGGGTGATATCTCGTCATGAGACACAGTTTAATGGACTTTTGATATGCTAGTTTGCTGGGTGATATCTCATCATGAGACACAGTTAAATGGACTTTTGATATGCTAGTATGATGGGGGATATCTAGACAAGACATAATCTATGAAATCTTTTATTACACATTACATTTCTCTCCTCTAATATTAAAACAAATAATTTTCTTGACGCTGATTCCATATGTGGAATAGAGTTGTCTAGAGCTAGCTAGAATTGCTTTTGTTAATGTTTTTACAGATTGGTTTTGTTTTCATAAAAAAATATGTTCCATGTTGCAGGACTATCTCTTGAGATCTCATGAGACACGGTTAAATGGACATTTGATTTGTGTGTGTGCTGGATGATGTTTATTTGACATTAATTACTGTGTAGATGGGGCTTTCGATGTTCTTCATGTGATGTAAAACTATACATTGTTCATCTGTGTTGATAGGCTTCACATTGAACTGACTGTTTCAGATATGGCTTCAACATTGAGGGACTAGACCGGAGTGGGCGTCGTCGGACAGTCAACAATGGCATCTTCACAGCCCGGGAGAGATATGACACAGAGGGCTTTGACTTCCAAGGTAGGGGAAACCGTCGTCATTGATGGCACTATCTGTGATTCCTTTAATTAGGGGCAAGTTCTTGGAGGCATTTTCATTAAATACAGATCATATGATATGTTAAAAGAATCATGTACAGCATGTTCAGAGAGGTAGAAGCATGGACATAGTTTGAAATATCTTAAAGTATAAGTTTTTGTGAAGTTTGTGATAAAATACACATCTGAAAAAATAAGATCAATATTTCACCTTTATCATCGAAATATCATTTATTAAGTTGATTATATTATTAAGTTGATATAGTATTCACGACTGTCCGTACGTCCGTCCGTACGTCCCACCTGTTTGTTGCCACGATATCTCAAGAACTAAACACTGGATTGTCTTCATATTTGGAACTATGGTGTATATACAGACTCCGCAGACACCAGTCGGTTTTGGTGACCTTGATCCCATTTTCAAGGTCACAGCAGACAAATCTGCTTTTAGAGTTGGAAAACGGTGTTGCCGCGATATCTCAAGAACTAAACACTGGATTGTCTTCATATTTGGAACTATGGTGTATATACAGACTCCGCAGACACCAGTCGGTTTTGATGACCTTGATCCCATTTTCAAGGTCACAGCAGACAAATCTGCTTTTAGAGTTGGAAAACGGTGTTGCCGCGATATCTCAAGAACTAAACACTGGATTGTCTTCATATTTGGAACTATGGTGTATATACAGACACCGCAGACACCAGTCGGTTTTGGTGACCTTGACCCCATTTTCAAGGTCACAGCAGGCAAATCTGCTTTTGGAGTTAGAAAACGGTGTTGCCGCGATATCTCAAGAACTAAACACTGGATTGTCTTCATATTTGGAACTATAGTGTATATACAGACTCCGCAGACACCAGTCGGTTTTGGTGACCTTGATCCCATTTTAAAGGTCACAGCAGGCAAATCTGCTTTTAGAGTTGGAAAACGGTGTTGTCGCGATATCTCAAGAACTAAACCTCTCGATTGTCTTCATATTTGGAACTATGGTGTATATACAGACACCGCAGACACCAGTCGGTTTTGGTGACCTTGACCCCATTTTCAAGGTCACAGCAGGCAAATCTGCTTTTGGAGTTAGAAAACGGTGTTGCCGCGATATCTCAAGAACTAATCGCTGGATTGTCTTCATATTTCGAACTATAGTGTATATACAGACACCGCATACACCTGTCAGATTTGGTGACCTTGACCCCATTTTCAAGGTCACAGCAGGCAAATCTGTTTTTGGAGTTGGAAAACGGTGTTGCCACAATATCTCAAGAACTAATCGCTGGTTGGTCTTCATATTTGGTACTATGGTGTATATGGCGGGGGATATTTCATCACTCTGTGACAAATACTTGTTTACATGTGTATTCATATCCATGAATATGAAAACATGGTTCCCATATATCAAATGTGTTGTCCAGGCTATGACATGTTGAATGTTTAGTCCAGGATGCATGATCCAGGCTGTGACATGTTGAATGTGTTGTGCAGACTATGACATGTTGAATGTGTTGTGCAGACTATGACATGTTGAATGTGTTGTGCGGGCTATGACATGTTGAATGTGTTGTCCAGGCTATGACATGTTGAATGTGTTGTGCAGGCTATGACATGTTGAATGTGTTGTGCAGACTATGACATGTTGAATGTGTTGTGCAGACTATGACATGTTGAATGAGTTGTGCAGGCTATGACATGTTGAATGTGTTGTGCAGGCTATGAAATGTTGAATGTATTGTCCACCCTTTGAAATGTTGAATGTGTTGTCCAGGCTATGACATGTTGAATGTGTTGTCCAGGCTATGCCATGTTGAATGTGTTGTGCGGGCTATGACATGTTGAATTTGTTTTCTAGGCTATGACATGTTGAATGTGTTGTCCAGGCTATGACATGTTGAATGTGTTGTCCAGGCTATGACATGTTGAATGTGTTGTCCAGGCTATGACATGTTGAATGTGTTGTCCAGGCTATGACATGTTGAATGTGTTGTCCAGGCTATGAAATGTTGAATGTGTTGTCCAGGCTATGACATCTACGGATATGACGATGAGGGCTTTGACCGCCAAGGCTATGACGAGGATGGGTTTGACAGGGAGGGCTTCAACAGGACAGGGTACAGCCGCATCGGCGAGTACGACGGCATCATTGACTACAACATGGAAGGCTACGACCCAGAAGGATTCAACAGGTAACAGAAGGAGTTGTCATAGTAGTCCGTGATTTTGTTTATGTGTGTGCACATAATTATCAGATATTACTCACGGGAACAAGGAAGTCAGTTCACTTTTTTTCAGAAATTCTCACTGTGCAATATAATTTTTGCTTAATGATGATTGGCTCGTTATGCCAAGTGTTTTTATTGTTTTGGAAGCAGCCAATTGCAATATGCTGTCAAAACAATACATTGCCACAAACAATTATAGATGCTGTCATCCATTGTCCATGACGTCACACAGGTTTTTATGTGTTGTTGTTTCAACAGTAGACAGAGCTAATGCCACATGTAACAGGGAAACATACAAGCTTCTGTATTTTCACAGAAAGATGACAAGGGGTAATAAATAAAATAACCTACTTGCAATTGATCATCTGTGCTTCATGATTTGTTTGTTGTTTAACGCGCACTCAGCAATATTCCACCTATATGATGACGGTCTGTAAATAATTGAGTATGGACCAGACAATCCAGTGATTGACATCATGAACATCGATCCATGCAATTGGGATATGACGACATGCATCAACCAAGTCGACCACCCGATCCTGTTAGTCGCCTCTTGCGACAAGCATAGTTGCCATTTACGGCAAGCATGGGTTGCTGAAGACCTATTCCACCCCGGATCTTCACAGGTCCTAGCTTTCATGTAATAATGATAAGAGTGATTTGAAACACTAATTCGCTCAGGACAGGCAATCCGTATTCCTGGTAACTCATTGGTTATTTTCTATGAATTACAAATCCCAACTTGTTTTAGATGAACTCTGTATCCTTATGAAACAGACACTTTACCACAGGTCTGTACAGAAGAAACACCCTGGTGAAATGATAGCATCTTCATTTTCTGTAAATCTTGAAAATAACACGATTGTGAATTAAATACGAAATATGCGAGTGGTGAACTTAACTTTGCATTTTGTCTCCAAAATGACTATCAACAATGAGATGGCCTTTGAACTTCCTCAATGCCAGTCAACAGAATATACATATAACTGAACAAACCCACTGTTTATTGTCTTTTACGGAAATGCTCTACTCCTCACTAATGACGGGTGCCATTTGCTGTTTGATTGGATTATGGTACGGATATATATCATTCCACTGGGGATGGGAGGGGGTGGGGGGGATGCATTAATATTTAGTCACGTAGGGGTCAGCAGTATTAATTTGGAGATGTATTAATTTCAAGATTTACTTACAAAGGCAGACCACCATCGTGGTCTAGTGGTAGAGCGTCTGCCCGGAGAGCGGAAGGTCCGGGGTTCGATCCCCAACCGCGTCATACCAAAAGACGTTAAAAGATGGTACTTGTTGTTACATTGTCTGGCGCTTGGCATTAAGGGGCTAAAACAAGGACTGGTCGCCTCGGAGTCAGTATACTGTGTCTGAGTGGGGTATTCATGTTAAAATGCGGCATGGTATCTCAGTGAGCTAGCACTATAAATCGGCAGCCACACAAACACACACACATACATGCACGTCGCTATATAAGTGCAATAATCTTGGACACGACGTTAAACCCCATTTCACCTCACCTACTTACAAAGGCAGCTTTTAATCAGGCTGTATAGTGTTATCTAAATGTTTTTGAATTAGGGTTCGTGAGAAAATTCTTTTTTGAGAAAATTTGGCAGTTCGTAATATAATGTTATATTTACTGTTTCTTTTTGCCCCAGGGCTGGGTACAACTGCCACGGCTTTAACCGAGAGGGACTGGACATCTACGGTGTGTCGGCCGGGTTCATGTACAGCTGTCGGTCCATGACGCTCCAGAAGTGTCAGGCAACGGAGGCCCGCGATGTGCAGGTGGTGCAGTTCACGCCAGGGAAACGCTGCGAGGAGGTGACGTGTGGGGAGACCTGTGGATGCATGTACAACAACCAGACATACAAGCCGGGGGACACGTTCCGGTCCGGTTGTCAGACATGCTCCTGCACAGAGAAGGGCGTGGTCGTCTGTGTGTGTGATGCCCCCGTGAGGAGGAAGGAGGTGAGAGAGCTGACGAGGGAGGAGCGCGAGAGATACCAGCTGGCTATCAGGAAGCTGATGGTTCAGACAGGTCGTCCGTCCAAGTGGCTCCGTCTGGCCCAGATGTACGCCTCACATCTGCCACAAGCTGTGGGCAGTGACGCTTTCCTGCCCTGGCATCGCTACTTCCTGTGGCACGTGGAACAAGCCTTGCAGGATATTGACTGCAGAATCGCCATACCCTACTACGACTGGACAACTGACGCGGGAAAGCCAGAGAAATCACTCATCTGGGGTGCTAACATGTTTGGCGGAAATGGCATGAATGCTTCCGACTGCGTCTCGTACCATCCTTTCAAGAACTACTTCCCCCCGTACTGGTCTCCGTGTCTCAGACGTAGATTCGACACGTCAGTCAACATGCCAGACCTTGTCAACGTCCAGCTGGCGCTACGGGAACCATCCTTCCAGAAGTTCCGTCTCAGGATGGAGGTGTACACCAAACTGTTCCAGACATTCGTTGGAGGTCACATGAGCACGGCTATGAGTGCCTATGATCCAGTGTTCCTGTCTGTTGTTGCCTTCATCGACAGTTTGTGGGACACATGGCAGATGACACACAGCGATGGTTTGCTGCGATACCCTCAAGGTCGTCGGTACCTTCCCATGATTCCCTTCAAGGTCACCCCAGACAATGTGATGGACCTCCGTATTCAGATGTGCGTTGAATACGTGCCCCTCACACAAGGGGCTCCATGTAATGAGACGGAAGTGCGTAACTATGGTTACGATGTAAACGGATATGATCGCCATGGTTACAACAGAGCAGGATATGACGTTGACAGTTACGACACACTCGGTATTAGTAAAGACGGTGATCTTGACAATCGTGGTATTTATGATATTCGTGGTTATAACAGACGTGGATATGGCCGCTCTGGGTATGACATGTCTGGCATGGATGAGTTTGGTTTCTATGTCGACACGTACAACATGGATGGATTTGATGCAAATGGCTACGACAGATCAGGGTACGATAGATATGGCTTTAACCGAAGTGGAGTAACACCGTTTGGCTTCCACAAAAATGCCTCCTACCTGGGTATGCATGAGGTCAAATTGGATGCATTCGACACCTATGGCTTCAACAAATACGGGTATGACAAGTTTGGCTTTGATCGTGAAGGGTTTGATCGTTTTGGGTTCGATTCGAAGGGCTACAACCGTCGTATATGCAACTTCTACAATCTGGGTCCTCTGAACGTGGTGGTCAGCCATTACATTAGGAATAAGCTGAATAAATTGGACAATGAGACCCTCCGGAACGTAAAGCGTATTTGTCCACCGGTGACATCACTACCGGACTGGCAGGTGACAAACAGTTGGCTGGATCGCGGAGACCAGGTACAGCTGATAGAGACAATAGAGAGGACGGATGCCCGTGCCCAGGAGACTGGTGTTATGGCTCGTAACTACAGCGTGGATAAGGACTTGATCTGGCTGCCATTGCCACCTGATGAACAGTGAGTACTGTGCTCTTTGTATACCTTCAGGTCTTTTTTAACTCACTTGGCATAAATATTTTTTCCTAATGATCCCTGTTACAAGTTAGGAGAACTTAAAAAAAATATATATATATTTTTATTTTTTTAAAAACCAAGTCAAAGAATTAATTTCCTTCCCTAGTTGAACTATTTTAAATGAATTTTTATTGCTGAAATTAGAAAACTGAACAACAGTAGGGAAAAAAGACATCTATCTTTTAATTTATGAAATTGTCAAATTGAGAAGTCATTTAAAAAAATGCCTTAGTATTTGTCAGAAAGTGTTTCTTTTACTGACCATATTGGCTACATTACTTCACCAACTGGGGGGCATGGGTGGCCGAGTCGTCTAAGGTGCTGCGATTCACTGTGCAGAGTTGTGTCCCTTGGGCACGCCAGAAACCTATGATTGTGGGTTCGAATCCCGGTTCTCCCCGATTATGTTTCTAGGTTTGTCAGCACCATACCCATGCTCGTGGGTTTCACCGAAGTGGTAAAGGTCTAAGACCTGCATCACTTCGGGCTTTCCTCCTACATTAAGCTGACACGCCGTCATATAACTGGAATACTGTTAAAAGTGGAGTTAAACACAACTCACTCACTTACTTCACCAATGGTTTCATGTAAAAATCCCAAAGATATATTTTACTTTGAAAATAATTTGTTCTTTTCCTTTTCACTTAAAAAGTTTTGATACTTGTCAGTCAGTATATTTAATTGTGCAGTATATATACAAGAGCTTGTGAGAAACATCCTGGTGTTGTTCAGTGAAAAACATAAAAAGTGATTTCCAGATCACCTTTTCCTGAGTATGTTTTTCTACAATTACCACATTACTTTGCGACTGAAAAAGGCAAGAAAAAAACATAATTAGACCAAGCCCTAACAATTCGCTCTCACCCTCACTCTCTCAAAACCACCACCCACCCAGTGACCCCCCCTCGCTGTTGCAGACTGTGCCTGGTGACCCACATGTACACAGACTGCCCCCTGGACAACCCTGCTGTCCTGTGTCCGGACGACCTGTGTGAGGCACGCAACTGCCCAGGTAGGTCATAGATCATCAGGCAAACACCATGCAACCTCTGGCAACCTCCTGCAACCTATTGCAACCTCCTGCAACCTATTGCAACCTCCTGCACCAGAAAGCAACATAACACTGAGGCCATCATTAGTATACTACTCAAAAGGATTATGGATAAGATATATGGATGAACAACTTCTTTATTACAATTAGGAGCGACGTTTCGGTGTTGGTTCTAAATCTGTTATCAAGCCATTTCACTTGCTTGATAATAAAGAAGTTGTTCATCCATTTATCTTATCCGTACTCCAACTTCTAAATGCATCTCAAAGGGACCGCCTCTGTGGTCTAGTGGTAGAGCGTCCGCCCGGAGAGCGAATTTATTCAGTTTGATCCCCAACCGCGCCATACCAAAAGACGTTAAAAGATGGTACTTGTTGTTACCCTGTCTGGCACTCGGAATTAAGGGGCTAAAACAAGGACTGGTCGGCTCGGAGTCAGTATACTGTGTCTGAGTGGGGTATTCATGTTAAACTGCGGCATGGTATCACAGTGGGCTAGCACTATAAATCGGCATCAGTCCGGACTAGTACAAGCAGCCACACAAACACACACACGTACATGCACGTCACTATATAAGTGCAATGATCTTGGACGCGATGTTAAACCCAATTTCACCTCACCTCACCTCTCATAGAAGTTACTCAAAAGAAGTTAAAGAACACCTTCATGATTAACTATAATCATATGAAAAAAGGGTGCTCTTAGACATCTTTTGAGTACTGTAGTCTTAACAAAAAGAGTTAGGGGTTTGGGGTTATAGGTTTCCTTGTGTCACATATTTGTTGCAAGATTTGGACAGAATAAAAAGGATAAGAACTGAAAAGTTTATATTGTTCTTCAAAATGTTATCTGAATATATTGATGTGTGCTGAGTTAAGCTTGTGTTACTGTTCAACATGTTATATGTACATTTGTTGTCATGGTTAATGTGTGAGTTTGCATTTAAGGGAATAACAGGATTATTTCTTTCATAATTTAATTGCGCACTCTGTGTTTGTTTTGGGTAGAACTGGGTTCCGTTCTTTAAAGCTTTATGTGTGTTGTAAGCCTCTGTTATAAACCTATTCATTGGGATCGCTATTAAGTAAGAGACTTCTTTCTATAGGCATTAAAACCTATTGTGAGGTTTTACTTTCCAGTCGGGTTAAATCTCATAAACAGGAATGTTGTAATGTCCCTGGGATTTTATATAATGTCCTGGGTATTTTATTAATATAACTTCCGTTCAGATTGTAACATGTAATGAAATGTAAAATCAAATGACAAATGTTTTCTTTATATTTCCCGAGGATCGAACTCGCAACCTTCATATCTGTAGCCCAGTGAGTGTACCACGAGGCTACTGAGGTGTTGATAAACCTCACTGGTTTTTAGAATCCGTACGCCAGCAACAGATATTTTACGTGCTTTCCTAAGGTTCATGGAAAGTATGTTCGAAACATAAAAATGTTGATAAATGTTGTTCTAAGTTTCTTTTTTCGGTTTATAAGCATGGAAAAACACTTTCCCTTGGTTTTGGTAGACAGAGCTTGCCCTGGGGGTCGGGAAAAACCGCGGGGGGGCTTCACCCCCTTGGTTTTTCCCTCTCCCCAGGGTATGCTCTGTCCACCAAACCTCGTGAGCGTGTTTTCTCCAATACTTAAAGTAAGGGAGTTCTGATAGTCGTAGTGTTAAGACTACTTTGCGGAATGGGTCCCTGAAACCAATATTTATCGAAACATAATGCCTTAAGTAGTAAGACCAAGGCCCAGCATGTGTATAGGAATGAATGGTTTCTCACATTTATTATAACGACTGACCTGTGAAGATCTGGGGTAGAATAGGTCTTAGCAACCCATGCTTGCTGTAAAAGGTGACTATGCTTGTCGTTAGAGGCGACTAACGGGATTGGGTGGTCAGGCTTGCTGACTTGGTTGATGCCTGTCATCGATACCAATTGCATGGACTGATGCTCATAATATCAATCACTGGATTGTCTGGGCCAGCCTGGATTATTTACAGACCGCCGTCATATAGCTGGAATATTGCTAAGTGTGGCATTAAACAACAAACAAAACAAAATATAATGACGACTAATAACTGTTTTTCCTTTTTCAGCCCACCCAACAGCTGTTTGTCGGACTAGCAGTTGTGGTTACTGTCACCACGAGTGGTATGACGGCGTCACTGGCAACATGCTCAACTGTTCTGGTGGGTAACACTCTTCTTTATGGCGCTCCATGTGACGAGTCGAACATGTGTATCTTTATAAACTCAAAAGAAGTTTAAGAACACTTAACTTTTTATATGACTATAGTAAGTCATTCATGGTTGATGGGTATTGTAGCACACAGTCTTCCAATTGTGGGTGTTCTCTCATTTGTTTTGAGTACCCTTGATATCCGGGGTAGAATAGGTCTTCAGCAACCATGCTTGCTGTAAACGGCAACTATGCTTGTCGAAACAGGTGACTAACGGGATCGGGTGGTCAGACTTGCTTACTTGGTTGATGCATATCATCGATCCCAATTGCATGGTCCAATGTGCACTGCATGACGTCAATCACGGGATTGTCTGGTCCAGACTCTATTATTTACAGACTGCCGTCATATAGCTGGAATATTGCTGAGTGTGGCGTTAAACCAGATACAAACAAACAAAGTATCTGTGTGACGATGTGGGGAAGATTCTTGGTCAGTGTTGGACCCAGTGTCATATGCTTGTCAACTAATTTGAGTGAGTGAGTGATTATGGTTTTACGCCGCTTTTAGCAATATTACATTAATATCATGGTGGGGGACCCCAGAAATGGGCTTCACACATTGTATCTATGTCAGGAAATGAACCAGGGTCTCCGGTGCGATGAGCGAGTGCTTGAACCACCAGGCTACCCTACTGACCCTAAACTAAAATGAGGATTGGGTGGTCTCAATGTTGGACCTGGCTGATTGTTTGTCATTGAATCCTGATGACAGGGAAGTTGCTCATGCTGTCGACCACTTTTCTCACCCTGACTAGATTATTTTTGAATTTTGGTGTTTAATGAGGTATAAACATAAGAGCTTTGCGCGAAGCGTATTTACACAAAGTGTGCCCACTAAACACAGATACATATTCCAGTAAATTCTTATAAATAAGTATGTTAACAATATGAACTTCATAGACTGCTTTTTTCATCATTAACACACAAAGACTATAGACAACAGTACAAAATCAGTAACATCATTCAGTGCAATAATGTAACTCAAGCCCCACCCATTCTATTATCAGCCTGGGGCATGCCTCCCTTGGGTGCACCAGAATCCTATGATTGTGGGTTCGAATCCCGGTTCAACCCGATTATGTTTCTAGGTTTGTCAGCACCATACCAGTGCTCGTGGGTTTTACTGAAGTGGTAAATGTCTGAGACCTGCATCACTTCAGTCTTTCCTCCCACATTATGCTGACACACCGAGATATAACTGGAATACTGTTAAAAGCAGTGTTAAACCCAACTCACTCACTATCATCAGCCAATCAGGACACAGTAGTTTCTTAGGAGGTGTGGCCTAATTGTGAATAATAAGTGCACCAAAATTGTTCGGTTAGGTGATCAAATTCCACGGAACCACTTGCAATTTATCTATTTACAGGATGTCATGATGTGGCTGGAATAGAGCTGACTACGGCATCAAACGACATTTACTCACTCACTCTGTGGAGTGTTGCTGGACAAATAATACATTGAACATGTTTCATTTCTACAGGCTGCTATGACGAGGATGTCCGTGAGCGACGTGAGGGTGAGACTTGGAACAATGGCAGGTGTCAGAATTGTCTGTGTCAGGTGAGAACAATGGTTTCAGATCAGTTTTTTTGTCATGATTGAAAAATGGGGTGAGATGTGTGTTTCAGGTGGTTTGTCTGCTTGTTGTTTAACGCCGCACTCAGCAATATTCCAGCTATTTGACGGTGGTCTGTAAATAATCAAGTCTGGACAAGACAATCCAGTGACTGGTATCATGAGCACGATCCACGCAATTGGGATCGATGACATGCATCAACCATGTCAGCGAGCCTGACCACTCGATCCCGTTAGTCGCCTCTTACGACAAGCATAGTCGCCTTTTACGGCAAGCATGGGTTAATGGAGACCTATTCTACCCTGGATCTTCACGGGTCTGTGAGAACAATGGGGTCAAAAGTGTGTGTGTCAGGTGAGAACAATGGTGTCAGATTTGTGTGTCAAGTGAGAACAATGGTGTCAGATGTGTATACATGTCAAGTGAGAACAATGGTGTCGGTGTGTATGTCATGTGAGAACTACAGGGTCAGGTGTTTATGTCAGGTGAGAACAATGGGGTCAGATGTGTATGTCAAGTGAGAACTACGGGGTCAGGTGTTTATGTAAGGTGAGAACAATGGGGTCAGGTATGTATGTCAAGTGAGGACAATGGTGTCAGATGTGTATACATGTCAAGTGAGAACAATGAGGTCAGGTGTTTTGTCAGGTGAGAACAATGGTGTCAGATGTGTATGTCAAGTGAGAACAATGAGGTCGGTGTTTATGTCATGTGAGAACTACGGGGTCAGGTGTTTATGTCAGGTGAGAACAATGGGGTCAGATGTGTATGTCAAGTGAGAACAATGGTGTCAGATGTGTATACATGTCAAGTGAGAACAATGGGGTCAGGTGTGTATGTCAAGTGAGAACTACGGGGTCAGGTGTTTATGTAAGGTGAGAACAATGGGGTCAGGTATGTATGTCAAGTGAGGACAATGGTGTCAGATGTGTATACATGTCAAGTGAGAACAATGGGGTCAGGTGTTTATGTCAGGTGAGAACAATGGTGTCAGATGTGTATGTCAAGTGAGAACAATGGTGTCCGATGTGTATACATGTCAAGTGAGAACAATGGGGTCAGGTGTGTATGTCAAGTGAGAACTACGGGGTCAGGTGTTTATGTCAGGTGAGAACAATGGGGTCAGATATGTATGTCAAGTGAGGACAATGGTGTCAGATGTGTTTATGTCAGGTGAGAACAATGGTGTAAGATGTGTATACATGTCAAGTGAGAACAATGGGGTCAGGTGCGTATGTCAAGTAAGGACAATGGTGACAGATTTGTGTGTCAGGTGAGAACAATGGGGTCAGATGTGTATACATGTCAAGTGAGAACAATGGGGTCAGGTGTGTATGTCAGGTGAGAACAATGGGGTCAGATGTGTAATGTCAAGTGAGAACAAAGGTGTCAGACTGTATGTCAAGTGAGAACAATGGGGTCAGGTGTGTATGTCAAGTGAGGACAATGGTGTCAGATGTGTATACATGTCAAGTGAAAACAATGGGGTCAGATGTGTATACATGTCAAGTGAGAACAATGGGGTCAGGTGTGTATGTCAAGTGAGGACAATGGTGTCAGATGTGTATACATGTCAAGTGAGAACAATGGTGTCAGATGTGTATGTCAAGTGAGGACAATGGTGTCAGATGTGTATACATGTCAAGTGAGAACAATGGTGTCAGGTGTGTATGTCAAGTGAGAACAATGGTGTCAGATGTGTAAACATGTCAAGTGAGAACAATGGTGTCAGATGTGTATACATGTCAAGTGAAAACAAAAGTGTCAGACTGTATGTCAGGTGAGAACAATGGTGTCAGATGTGTATGTCAAGTGAGAACAATGGGGTCAGACTGTATGTCAGGTGAGAACAATGGGGTCAGGTATGTATGTCAAGTGAGAACAATGGGGTCAGATGTGTAAGAAGTGAGAACAATGGTGTCAGGTATGTATGTCAGGTGAGAACAATGGGGTCAGATGTGTATGTCAAGTGAGAACAATGGGGTCAGGTGTGTGTGTCAGATGAGAACAATGGGGTTAGATGAGTTTAGTGAGAGCAATGGGGCTTCAGATGTTTCCATCAAATCAGGACAATGAGATGTGTGTCAGTTGTAGACAATGGGGTCACTTGTGTGTCAAGCAAGGACCATGGTGTTATTATTACTGACAATCTGATTACTGCCGATAGTATCTTTCTATGCTGTAATGTGGTGTTTCAGGAAGGACTGATTGAATGCACACCCAAGGTGTGTCCACCCACAACTTGCCAACATCCCATCACCATGACAGATGCCTGCTGCCTTACATGTGAAGGTAGGGATTGTGCTCTGGAGAGGATATTGTGTACCTGATGTAGGAAGGTAGGTATTGTGCTCTCTGTACCCTGTGAAGGTAGGTATTGTGCTCTCTGTACCCTGTGAAGGTAGGCATTGTGCTCTCTGTACCCTGTGAAGGTAGGTATTGTGCTCTCTGTACCCTGTGAAGGTAGGTATTGTGCTCTCTGTACCCTGTGAAGGTAGGTATTGTGCTCTCTGTACCCTGTGAAGGTAGGCATTGTGCTCTCTGTACCCTGTGAAGGTAGGTATTGTGCTCTCTGTACCCTGTGAAGGTAGGCATTGTGCTCTCTGTACCCTGTGAAGGTAGGTATTGTGCTCTCTGTACCCTGTGAAGGTAGGCATTGTGCTCTCTGTACCCTGTGAAGGTAGGTATTGTGCTCTCTGTACCCTGTGAAGGTAGGCATTGTGCTCTCTGTACCCTGTGAAGGTAGGCATTGTGCTCTCTGTACCCTGTGAAGGTAGGTATTGTGCTCTCTGTACCCTGTGAAGGTAGGCATTGTGCTCTCTGTACCCTGTGAAGGTAGGCATTGTGCTCTCTGTACCCTGTGAAGGTAGGTATTGTGCTCTCTGTACCCTGTGAAGGTAGGCATCGGCTCTCTGTACCCTGTGAAGGTAGGCATTGTGCTCTCTGTACCCTGTGAAGGTAGGCATTGTGCTCTCTGTACCCTGTGATGGTAGGTATTGTGCTCTCTGTACCCTGTGAAGGTAGGCATTGTGCTCTCTGTACCCTGTGAAGGTAGGTATTGTGCTCTCTGTACCCTCTGAAGGTGGGTATTGTGCTCTCTGTACCCTGTGAAGGTAGGTATTGTGCTCTCTGTACCCTGTGAAGGTAGGTATTGTGCTCTCTGTACCCTCTGAAGGTGGGTATTGTGCTCTCTGTACCCTGTGAAGGTAGGTATTGTGCTCTCTGTACCCTGTGAAGGTAGGCATTGTGCTCTCTGTACCCTGTGAAGGTAGGCATTGTGCTCTCTGTACCCTGTGAAGGTAGGTATTGTGCTCTCTGTACCCTGTGAAGGTAGGCATTGTGCTCTCTGTACCCTGTGAAGGTAGGCATTGTGCTCTCTGTACCCTGTGAAGGTAGGTATTGTGCTCTCTGTACCCTGTGAAGGTAGGCATCGGCTCTCTGTACCCTGTGAAGGTAGGCATTGTGCTCTCTGTACCCTGTGAAGGTAGGCATTGTGCTCTCTGTACCCTGTGAAGGTAGGTATTGTGCTCTCTGTACCCTGTGAAGGTAGGCATTGTGCTCTCTGTACCCTGTGAAGGTAGGTATTGTGCTCTCTGTACCCTGTGAAGGTAGGCATTGTGCTCTCTGTACCCTGTGAAGGTAGGTATTGTGCTCTCTGTACCCTGTGAAGGTAGGCATTGTGCTCTCTGTACCCTGTGAAGGTAGGCATTGTGCTCTCTGTACCCTGTGAAGGTAGGTATTGTGCTCTCTGTACCCTGTGAAGGTAGGCATTGTGCTCTCTGTACCCTGTGAAGGTAGGCATTGTGCTCTCTGTACCCTGTGAAGGTAGGTATTGTGCTCTCTGTACCCTGTGAAGGTAGGCATCGGCTCTCTGTACCCTGTGAAGGTAGGCATTGTGCTCTCTGTACCCTGTGAAGGTAGGCATTGTGCTCTCTGTACCCTGTGATGGTAGGTATTGTGCTCTCTGTACCCTGTGAAGGTAGGCATTGTGCTCTCTGTACCCTGTGAAGGTAGGTATTGTGCTCTCTGTACCCTCTGAAGGTGGGTATTGTGCTCTCTGTACCCTGTGAAGGTAGGTATTGTGCTCTCTGTACCCTGTGAAGGTAGGTATTGTGCTCTCTGTACCCTCTGAAGGTGGGTATTGTGCTCTCTGTACCCTGTGAAGGTAGGTATTGTGCTCTCTGTACCCTGTGAAGGTAGGCATTGTGCTCTCTGTACCCTGTGAAGGTAGGCATTGTGCTCTCTGTACCCTGTGAAGGTAGGTATTGTGCTCTCTGTACCCTGTGAAGGTAGGCATTGTGCTCTCTGTACCCTGTGAAGGTAGGCATTGTGCTCTCTGTACCCTGTGAAGGTAGGTATTGTGCTCTCTGTACCCTGTGAAGGTAGGCATCGGCTCTCTGTACCCTGTGAAGGTAGGCATTGTGCTCTCTGTACCCTGTGAAGGTAGGCATTGTGCTCTCTGTACCCTGTGAAGGTAGGTATTGTGCTCTCTGTACCCTGTGAAGGTAGGCATTGTGCTCTCTGTACCCTGTGAAGGTAGGTATTGTGCTCTCTGTACCCTCTGAAGGTGGGTATTGTGCTCTCTGTACCCTGTGAAGGTAGGTATTGTGCTCTCTGTACCCTGTGAAGGTAGGTATTGTGCTCTCTGTACCCTCTGAAGGTAGGTATTGTGCTCTCTGTACCCTGTGAAGGTAGGTATTGTGCTCTCTGTGCCCTGTGAAGGTAGGCATTGTGCTCTCTGTACCCTGTGAAGGTAGGTATTGTGCTCTCTGTACCCTGTGAAGGTAGGCATTGTGCTCTCTGTACCCTGTGAAGGTAGGTATTGTGCTCTCAGTACCCTGTGAAGGTAGGCATTGTGCTCTCTGTACCCTGTGAAGGTAGGCATTGTGCTCTCTGTACCCTGTGAAGGTAGGTATTGTGCTCTCTGTACCCTCTGAAGGTGGGTATTGTGCTCTCTGTACCCTGTGAAGGTAGGTATTGTGCTCTCTGTACCCTGTGAAGGTAGGTATTGTGCTCTCTGTACCCTCTGAAGGTGGGTATTGTGCTCTCTGTACCCTGTGAAGGTAGGTATTGTGCTCTCTGTGCCCTGTGAAGGTAGGCATTGTGCTCTCTGTACCCTGTGAAGGTAGGTATTGTGCTCTCTGTACCCTGTGAAGGTAGGCATTGTGCTCTCTGTACCCTGTGAAGGTAGGTATTGTGCTCTCAGTACCCTGTGAAGGTAGGCATTGTGCTCTCTGTACCCTGTGAAGGTAGGCATTGTGCTCTCTGTACCCTGTGAAGGTAGGTATTGTGCTCTCTGTACCCTCTGAAGGTGGGTATTGTGCTCTCTGTACCCTGTGAAGGTAGGTATTGTGCTCTCTGTACCCTGTGAAGGTAGGTATTGTGCTCTCTGTACCCTCTGAAGGTGGGTATTGTGCTCTCTGTACCCTGTGAAGGTAGGTATTGTGCTCTCTGTACCCTGTGAAGGTAGGCATTGTGCTCTCTGTACCCTGTGAAGGTAGGCATTGTGCTCTCTGTACCCTGTGAAGGTAGGCATTGTGCTCTCTGTACCCTGTGAAGGTAGGCATTGTGCTCTCTGTACCCTGTGAAGGTAGGCATTGTGCTCTCTGTACCCTGTGAAGGTAGGTATTGTGCTCTCTGTACCCTGTGAAGGTAGGCATTGTGCTCTCTGTACCCTGTGAAGGTAGGTATTGTGCTCTCTGTACCCTGTGAAGGTAGGCATTGTGCTCTCTGTACCCTGTGAAGGTAGGCATTGTGCTCTCTGTACCCTGTGAAGGTAGGTATTGTGCTCTCTGTACCCTGTGAAGGTAGGCATTGTGCTCTCTGTACCCTGTGAAGGTAGGTATTGTGCTCTCTGTACCCTCTGAAGGTGGGTATTGTGCTCTCTGTACCCTGTGAAGGTAGGTATTGTGCTCTCTGTACCCTGTGAAGGTAGGTATTGTGCTCTCTGTACCCTCTGAAGGTGGGTATTGTGCTCTCTGTACCCTGTGAAGGTAGGTATTGTGCTCTCTGTGCCCTGTGAAGGTAGGTATTGTGCTCTCTGTACCCTGTGAAGGTAGGCATTGTGCTCTCTGTACCCTGTGAAGGTAGGTATTGTGCTCTCTGTACCCTGTGAAGGTAGGTATTGTGCTCTCAGTACCCTCTGAAGGTAGGTATTGTGCTCTCTGTACCCTGTGAAGGTAGGTATTGTGCTCTCTGTACCCTGTGAAGGTAGGCATTGTGCTCTCTGTACCCTGTGAAGGTAGGCATTGTGCTCTCTGTACCCTGTGAAGGTAGGTATTGTGCTCTCTGTACCCTGTGAAGGTAGGCATTGTGCTCTCTGTACCCTGTGAAGGTAGGCATTGTGCTCTCTGTACCCTGTGAAGGTAGGTATTGTGCTCTCTGTACCCTGTGAAGGTAGGCATTGTGCTCTCTGTACCCTGTGAAGGTAGGCATTGTGCACTCTGTACCCTGTGAAGGTAGGTATTGTGCTCTCTGTACCCTGTGAAGGTAGGCATTGTGCTCTCTGTACCCTGTGAAGGTAGGTATTGTGCTCTCTGTACCCTGTGAAGGTAGGTATTGTACTCTCTGTACCCTGTGAAGGTAGGTATTGTGGTCTCTGTGAAGGATATTGTTTACCTTGTGAAGGTAGATATGGTGCTCTCTGTACCCTGTGAAGGTAGGTATTGTACTCTCTGTACCCTGTGAAGGTAGGTATTGTGGTCTCTGTACCCTGTGAAGGTAGGTATTGTGGTCTCTGTGAAGGTGAAGGTAGATATGGTGTTCTCTGTACCCTGTGAAGGTAGGTATTGTGCTCTCTGTACCCTGTGAAGGTAGGTATTGTGGTCTCTGTGAAGGATATTGTTTACCTTGTGAAGGTAGATATGGTGCTCTCTGTACCCTGTGAAGGTAGGTATTGTACTCTCTGTACCCTGTGAAGGTAGGTATTGTGGTCTCTGTACCCTGTGAAGGTAGGTATTGTGGTCTCTGTGAAGGTGAAGGTAGGTATTGTGGTCTCTGTGAAGGTGAAGGTAGGTATTGTGGTCTCTGTGAAGGTGAAGGTAGGTATTGTGGTCTCTGTGAAGGTGAAGGTAGGTATTGTGGTCTCTGTGAAGGATATTGTTAACCTTGTGAAGGTAGGTATTGTGGTCTCTGTGAAGGATATTGTTTACCTTGTGAAGGTAGGTATTGTGCTCTGTGAAGGTATTGTGTGCACTGGTTCAGTATTGTGTTCAGTACTCTGTGAAAATATTGTGCTCTTGTTGAGATTTTGTTTTCTCAGTGAAGATATTGTCAAGATGTGTTGTAGAACATACATATTTGGTACACTATCTTCAACTATTTCTGAAACCAAAATATATGACACTAACAACATGTTAAAACTAACCCAAAATTAATAGTGAATTGGAATACCCAATATCAGCACATTGCTGTTCATAACAGTTTTTGAGCAATGGTTGATTCTGGCTGATCCATCTGGTTGCAGCTGGTTGCAGCTTCAAGGGCAACAAGTACCTGACAGGGACGCGGTTCCCGGACCCAGAAGATGCCTGTGTCAGCTGTGTGTGTAACCGTGGCAACGTGAGCTGCAGTGTGGCCAGCTGCCCCGACCTGGGGGACTGTCAGAGCCCCACCCAGCTGGAGGGGGAGTGTTGTCCAGTGTGTCTAGACTGTGGGGCTCATGCTAATGCCACCAAGTGGTACCCCAGCCCCTGCCAGGAATGTTCCTGTGTGGTGAGTGCTGGCTTATTACTTGGGCAGTAATCTGTTTATTTTTCTCTTTATGGGTGAGGTAAGGTGAAATGGGGTTTAACGTCGCGATTTGCAATATTTTTATTCGTGCTAGCCCACTGAGATACCAGGCCGCAGTTTAACATGAATACTCCACTCAGACGCCGTATACTGACTTCGAGCCGACCTGTCCATGTTTTAGTCCCTTAATGCCAAGCACCAGGCAGGGCAACAACAAGTACTGTCTTTTAACGTCTTTTGGTATGACCTGGACAGGGATCAAACCCCGGACCTTCCTCTCTCCAGGTGTAGGCTCTACCACTAGACCACAGAGGCAGTGTTTCTCTTTATTAATTTGACTGACTGGAGTCATAAAATAAAATACATATTGTTTGGATGTATATTTGTTCAACTGGCCACTCAAATCTTTGAGCAAATGCACTGAATATAGTCTCAGGTCACTGCAATCACTGTATTATGAGAAGAAAGCCTTCTGATAGAAGTAGATACTCTGAATACTCTAAAAATAGTAAGCATCAACATTTATTTTTTATTTGTTTTTTTAATGTTTTTTTTATTTCCTGATTAGCATTTATTAATTTAGGTATTTTTACAAACAAACCCAACAACACAAACAGCATTATGAAAAAATGCAAACAAATCCCCTGCACAGTAATACTTTTTCCTTGACCCACCCAAGGTAACAGGTTAGCCAAAAATATGAAAATGATAAAATATGAAGTGTGTTGCCTTTTTTAACACACTATTTTAAAGTGCATCATTCGCATGCTCCATCCCAGTGTGTGCGACATTCATAACACTCCCAGTATAGAGCTCAAGGGATGGGTATCACTGTGAGGAGTTTGTTAATGTAGTTTTGCAATATATGTGCTGCTGGTGTTATTTGACAGGCTGCTTGTTTGGCTCGTATCACTTATAGAACTTTGGTACGATTGCGCTAATATGGGTAATGCTCTGTGTTGGCATGTTAGATGATAACTACCTGGTCGTGAAATAAGGATGGATGCATTAAGTTGCACAATCAGTCAGTTTATGGCTCCTACTAAGAATGACCCTTTTTGTATTGCTTAGGCCCCAAGGGCCCTAAGATAGTTAACAATATATGTACAAACGTAATTGAAATATGACGCAATAAGAAGGACTCTTGTTACAAGAAGAATCTGTTCCTAGTAGGGTTGCTTATACTTGTCTTTTGTCACATCAAAAGTGTCTCTGACTTAGCCACAAGTCCAAAGAATTTTTCTCACCATAAGCTCAGTAACTTTTCATATGTTAACACTAAAAGCTGCTGCCGATGATGCCATTGACAAGGTTGGGTGAGGAGACAAAGAAACATGTTTGGCACAGACTGATATTTTGTGCCACTCACTGCCAACCCTGGTTCCATGACCTGTAACACTACAGTTGTCTCCCTTTCAGAATGGCGAGGTGTCGTGTCAGCGTGTGAAGTGTAACGATGTAGACTGCCGCTTCCCCTACACCCCTGATGGGTCCTGCTGTCCAGTGTGTGTGGGTAAGACATCACGTTATCTGTCACATACATGCAGGTGGCAGATGGATGAGGGTTCTGCTGTCCAGTGTGTGTGGGTAAGACATCACGTTATCTGTCACATACATGCAGGTGGCAGATGGATGAGGGTCCTGCTGTCCAGTGTGTGTGGGTAAGACATCATGTTATCTGTCACATACATGCAGGTGGCAGATGGATGAGGGTCCTGCTGTCCAGTGTGTGTGGGTAAGACATCACGTTATCTGTCACATACATGCAGTAGGCAGATGGATGAGGGTCCTGCTGTCCAGTGTGTGTGGGTAAGACATCACGTTATCTGTCACATACATGCAGTAGGCAGATGGATGCCAAGCATGCCAGTGTGTGTGGGTAAGACATCACGTTATCTGTCACATACATGCAGGTGGCAGATGGATGAGGGTCCTGCTGTCCAGTGTGTGTGGGTAAGACATCACGTTATCTGTCACATACATGCAGTAGGCAGATGGATGAGGGTCCTGCTGTCCAGTGTGTGTGGGTAAGACATCACGTTATCTGTCACATACATGCAGGTGGCAGATGGATGAGGGTCCTGCTGTCCAGTGTGTGTGGGTAAGACATCACGTTATCTGTCACATACATGCAGTAGGCAGATGGATGAGGGTCCTGCTGTCCAGTGTGTGTGGGTAAGACATCACGTTATCTGTCACATACATGCAGTAGGCAGATGGATGAGGGTCCTGCTGTCCAGTGTGTGTGGGTAAGACATCACGTTATCTGTCACATACATGCAGTAGGCAGATGGATGAGGGTCCTGCTGTCCAGTGTGTGTGGGTAAGACATCACGTTATCTGTCACATACATGCACTAGGCAGATGGATGCCAAGCATGCCAGTGTGTGTGGGTAAGACATCACGTTATCTGTCACATACATGCAGTAGGCAGATGGATGAGGGTCCTGCTGTCCAGTGTGTGTGGGTAAGACATCACGTTATCTGTCACATACATGCAGTAGGCAGATGGATGAGGGTCCTGCTGTCCAGTGTGTGTGGGTAAGACATCACGTTATCTGTCACATACATGCACTAGGCAGATGGATGCCAAGCATGCCAGTGTGTGTGGGTAAGACATCACGTTATCTGTCACATACATGCAGGTGGCAGATGGATGAGGGTCCTGCTGTCCAGTGTGTGTGGGTAAGACATCATGTTATCTGTCACATACATGCAGGTGGCAGATGGATGAGGGTCCTGCTGTCCAGTGTGTGTGGGTAAGACATCATGTTATCTGTCACATACATGCAGGTGGCAGATGGATGAGGGTCCTGCTGTCCAGTGTGTGTGGGTAAGACATCACGTTATCTGTCACATACATGCACTAGGCAGATGGATGCCAAGCATGCCAGTGTGTGTGGGTAAGACATCACGTTATCTGTCACATACATGCAGTAGGCAGATGGATGAGGGTCCTGCTGTCCAGTGTGTGTGGGTAAGACATCATGTTATCTGTCACATACATGCACTAGGCAGATGGATGCCAAGCATGCCAGTGTGTGTGGGTAAGACATCACGTTATCTGTCACATACATGCAGGTGGCAGATGGATGAGGGTCCTGCTGTCCAGTGTGTGTGGGTAAGACATCATGTTATCTGTCACATACATGCAGGTGGCAGATGGATGAGGGTCCTGCTGTCCAGTGTGTGTGGGTAAGACATCACGTTATCTGTCACCTACATGCAGGTGGCAGATGGATGAGGGTCCTGCTGTCCAGTGTGTGTGGGTAAGACATCATGTTATCTGTCACATACATGCAGGTGGCAGATGGATGAGGGTCCTGCTGTCCAGTGTGTGTGGGTAAGACATCATGTTATCTGTCACATACATGCAGGTGGCAGATGCATGAGGGTCCTGCTGTCCAGTGTGTGTGGGTAAGACATCACGTTATCTGTCACCTACATGCAGGTGGCAGATGGATGAGGGTCCTGCTGTCCAGTGTGTGTGGGTAAGACATCATGTTATCTGTCACATACATGCAGATGGCAGATGGATGAGGGTCCTGCTGTCCAGTGTGTGTGGGTAAGACATCACGTTATCTGTCACCTACATGCAGGTGGCAGATGGATGAGGGTCCTGCTGTCCAGTGTGTGTGGGTAAGACATCACGTTATCTGTCACATACATGCAGTAGGCAGATGGATGCCAAGCATGCCAGTCCAGTCCATGCTTCTATGCTGTGAAGAGTTGCATCCCTTAGTCCTGCCAGAATCTGTTAATCATACATTTGAATTCCAGATCTAGATTCACCCACATTTCTTTTGTTCATTCCATACTTATCAATGTGACTACAAGAAGCTTTTACCAGAAGGGTCTGTTACTAGAAGGATCTGTTACTAGAAGGGTCTGTCACTAGAAGGATCTGTTACTAGAAGGGTCCATTATTAGAAGGATCTGTTACTAGTAGGATCTGTTACAATAAGGATATGTTACTAGAAGGGTCTGTTACTAGAAGGATCTGTTACTAGTATGATCTGTTACTGGAAGGGTCTGTTACTAGTAGGGTCTGTTACAAGAAGGATCTGTTACTAGAAGGATCTGTTACTAGTAGGATCTTTTACTGGAAGGGTCTGTCACTAGAAGGATCTCTTAGTAGAAGGCTCTGCCACTAGAAGGATTTGTTACAAGAAGGATCTGTTACTAGTAGGGTCTGTTACAAGAAGGATCTGTTACTAGTAGGATCTGTTACTAGAAGGGTCTGTCACTAGAAGGGTCTGTCACTAGAAGGATCTGTTACTAGAAGGATCTGTTACAAGAGGGATCTGTTACTAGAAGGAGTTACCAGTAGGGTCTGTTACTCAAAGGGTCTGTCACTAGAAGGGTCTGTTTCAAGAAGGGTCTGTAGTAGGGATTTTCTCCCACATAAAGCTGACATATCATGATATAACTGTAATACTTTTCGTTCACTCAGAGCCAGAGTAAACCAAGACTATGATAGGATAGTGGGTCTACCATCTTGGTCAATTGTGGGGTGTATAGTGAATAACATACTGCAACTCTTAGGTACCATCACTGTGTTGCATCTATTGAAGCCAGATTTCCTTTCCTTATGAATGTCCTTTATTTTTTATGAAGTAGAATAATACCTTAAGTTTATGGTGTTGGTCAAGCTGTTGTGTATATTTTCCAGATTGTGTCACTGATGGTTCCTGATGATTTATACACGATATTTTGTAGCCTGCTTCTATGAGGGAGCCATCTACCAAGAAGGAGAGGAGTTCAAGCCTGATGCCTGTCAAACATGTGGCTGTCACCGTGGAAACATCGTCTGTGACGTCAAGGACTGCCCAGCAACCAACTGCCCTGCACCAGTCACCCCAGTCAACCAGTGCTGCGCTGTCTGTGATAGTGGTTAGTGCCATACTGGCCTGTGTCACAGCAAGGATCTGTATCTACAAGTGCCTGTTAACACAAGGGCCTGAGGCAACAAGAATCTAATACCGTATTCGACGTAAAAAGCGCCTAGGGCCCTCTCAAAATTAGAAATAGGGGGCTCTTATTAAAATATTATTTTGGTTGAAAGATAAATTTTGTGGTTTATGCTGACAGCCAGAAATGTTTATGTACGGCAGATATATTTTACCAGAATTTAATTGCCCATATTAATGGTGCATATAACACAGGAGTGCGTATTATACGCGAATGAATAAGTCTTGTTTACATTGATCAATCGGAAGGGGTTCTAATTGAGATTGTTCATGTGCCAATATATTAGCAGATAGCGCCGTGGGCACTTATTAGAGCGGGGCGCTTATTACGTCGAATACGGTACTTCAAAATCTTTTACAAGGATCTGTTACTTCAAGGGTCTATCACTAGAAAAAATTTGGCATTACATTGGTCTGTTACAATTACTACTAGGGCTGGGAAGGGTAACTCAGGTAGTAGGGTACTCTGTTCAGGTGGGTACCAACAGGACTACCTGGACCCGTGGTTAGTCACGTGATATATTGTTAAACAACAAAAATTGTCGAAAACTCTATGGATACACAACAAGTCACTGATGTTCCCATTTCTTTATTATGTTTGAATAAAGATAAAACTTCAGTGTATGCATGACCAGATAGGCATTTCTAAATACTTTTGCGAAGGCAAACATTTCCCAATCGGACAGTTTGTACCTATATCTTGAGACCTACAGTAGGTACCCGGGCAAGGTCGGGTAATAGGGGATGGGTACCCGGGTAGAAAATTTGGACTCGTCACATCTCTCGTTACTACCCTTGTTAAAGGCTGTAAGTGGGTCTGTTGTTCCAAGGATTCTGTTACCAGAAGGATCTGTAACTAAAAGGGTCTGTCTCTAGAAGGGTCTGTCTCTAGAAGGATCTGTTACTAGAAGGGTCTGTTACCAGAAGGGTCTGTCTCTAGAAGAGTCTGTCTCTAGAAGGGTCTGTTACTAGAAGGGTCTGTTACCAGAAGGATCTGTAACTAAAAGGGTCTGTCTTTAGAAGGGCCTGTCTCTAGCAGGATCTGTTACTAGAAGGGTCTGCTACTAGAAGGATCTGTCTCTACAAGGGTCTGTCTCTAGAAGGATCAGTCACTAGAAGGGTCTGTTACCAGAAGGATCTGTAACTAAAAGGGTCTGTCTCTAGAAGGATCTGTTACTAGAAGGGTCTGCTACTAGAAGGATCTGTCTCTAGAAGGGTCTGTCTCTAGAAGGGTCTGTTACTAAAAGGGTCTGTTACAAGAAGAGTCTGTTACTAGATGGGTCTGTCACAAGAAGGGTCTGTTACTAGAGGGGTTTGTTACTAAAAGGGTCTGTTACTAGAAAGGTCTGTTACTAAAAGGGTCTGTCACTAGAAGGGTCTGTTACTAAAAGAGTCTGTTATAAGAAGGGTCTGTTACAAGAAGGGTCTGTTACTAGATAGGTCTGTTACAAGAAGGTTCTGTAACAAGAAGGGTGTGTCATGAGGGTCTGTCATGAGGGTCTGTTATTAGAAGGGACTGTTACTACAAGGGTCTGTCACTACAATGATTCATATAACAACTTATCAATATCCCACTTTCAGATTGCGAGTACGAGGGTTCTACTTATAAGCACCGGACGACCTTCACCCCGTCATACAACCCCTGTCTCCAGTGTTCCTGTGATAACTCCATTGTCAGGTGCAACTCCATCTCCTGCGCACCACACAACCTTGCATGTCAACGTCCAGTCATCGCCCCCGGGGAGTGCTGCCCGTCGAGATGTCCTCGTATGTCTCGTTTTCTCTTGTTCCATTGTGAAAACAAGATTTCATAGCATTATGGTCAATAATATGATGTGACAGGATTGGCCACATGGCAATTCTGGGTTCCCATCAATGTTTGCTGGTTGTAAGAATGCCTTGAATGTAAGAATGGATCGGGTGGTCAGGCCACCATTATATAGCTGGATCATTGCTTTGTGCTGTGTTAAACAAAAAACACACATTCACACACAAAAAAAGGACCATTTGCAAGACATTTTGTTGTTTAATGTCAAGCAATCTTATTACCAAACTTCTATGTCTAACAAAAAGTCCACATTAGTCAATCAGAAAGCTTTCTTAAGCTTTACGGTACACGTTTCAAACAGGCCACTTCCTTTCTTAGTCTACGCATTGGAAAATATAAATTCAAAATTTGAAACTTAACCAGAAAATAATTCTGGAATATCTAATAGATGGTTGAGATTGTATGGCAGTACTTCCCACATGCTATGGAAAGTCGCCTCCGTTTTAAAGGTTTATCCCATTGAAGCAAGAGATAGTCTATGATTTTAATGGAATCAGTTGTACAGGCCATATCTGTTGTTTGGAATACCCTGTGTTAACCTATTCGAGGTTGCCTGGTTAGAAACCACACTCCCACTGTCACTTCCCTGATCTGGTAAGCGATGCTCTGATGGGTTGGCTGACAGGTCGCTCTGACATGACCTGTAATGGGATGCCCTCAGATATTTGTTTAGCCGTAGCAAGAGTGAGTGAGTGAATTGGGTTTAACGCCGCTGTTAACAGTATTCCAGTTATATCACGGCGTGTCAGCTTAATGTGGGAGGAAAGTGAGTGAGTGAGTTGGGTTTAACACTGCTTTTAACAGTATTCCAGTTATATCGCGGCGTGTCAGCTTAATGTGGGAGGAAAGCCCGAAGTGATGCAGGTCTCAGACGTTTACCACTTCGGTAAAACCCACGAGCACGTGTATGGTGCTGACAAAGCTAGAAACATAATCGGGGCGAACCGGGATTCAGACCCATGACCATAGGTTTCTGGCGTGCCCAAGGGACACAACTCTGCACAGGGAATTGCGGCACCTTAGACTACTGGGCCACCCATGACCCCCGTAGCAAGAACTAAGAAGTGATTTAAATGAGATCGATTGCCACGCTGATTAATTTTCCAGACAAACCAGTGATTGATATTATGAGCAATGTCCATCTGCAAAACAGATAATTAAATCTGATGGAAAAACAGCTGGTTACTAAGATTGGTCAGGTATCTTGGTCACAACTTGATGATCTGTTTCTAGATTGCGTCCACGAAGGTTCCGAGTACGAGGATGGACAGACCTGGTCTCCTGCTGGCATCCCTTGCCAGGTATGTCGATGTCGCGACGGCCACGTCACGTGTCGCACCCGTGAGACCTGCGCCTTGGAATGTACCCACGGTCTGGTGAGGGATGGAGCGTGCTGCTCTGCTTGTTCAGGTAGGGTCGTGTGACACATCAGTGTAGGGTCACTGACATCATGAGGGGGTCAGGGCTTGGTTGTAGGTCTGTTCAGGTAGGGTCATGTGATACATCAGTGTAGGGTCACTGACATCATGAGGGGGCCAGGGCTTGGTTGTAGGTCTGTTCAGGTAGGGTCATGTGACACATCAGTGTGGGGTCACTGACATCATGAAGGGGTCAGGGCTTGGTTGTAGGTCTGTTCAGGTAGGGTCATGTGACACATCAGTGTGGGGTCACTGACATCATGAAGGGGTCAGGGCTTGGTTGTAGGTCTGTTCAGATAGGGTCATGTGACACATCAGTGTGGGGTCACTGACATCATGAAGGGGTCAGGGCTTGGTTGAAGGTCTGTTCAGATAGGGTCATGTGACACATCAGTGTGGGGTCACTGACATCATGAAGGGGTCAGGGCTTGGTTGTAGGTCTGTTCAGATAGGGTCATGTGACACATCAGTGTGGGGTCAGAGGGCATCACGGGGGGGTCAGGGTTTGGTTGTAGGTCTGTTCAGGTAGGGTCATGTGACACATCAGTGTGGGGTCAGAGGGCATCACGGGGGGGTCAGGGTTTGGTTGTAGGTCTGTTCAGGTAGGGTCATGTGACACGTCAGTGTGGGGTCAGAGGACATCACGAGGGGGTCAGGGCTTGGTTGTAGGTCTGTTCAGGTAGGGTCATGTGACACATCAGTGTGGGGTCACTGACATCACGAGGGGTCAGGGCTTGGTTGTAGGTCTGTTCAGGTAGGGTCATGTGACACATCAGTGTGGGGTCACTGACATCACGAGGGGGTCAGGGCTTGGCTGTAGTGTAGGTCTGTTCAGGTAGGGTCATGTGACACGTCAGTGTGGGGTCAGAGGACATCACGAGGGGGTCAGGGCTTGGTTGTAGGTCTGTTCAGGTAGGGTAATGTGACACATCAGTGTAGGGTCACTGACATCACGAGGGGTCAGGGCTTGGTTGTAGGTCTGTTCAGGTAGGGTCATGTGACACATCAGTGTGGGGTCACTGACATCACGAGGGGGTCAGGGCTTGGTTATAGGTCTGTTCAGATAGGGTCATGTGACATCAGTGTGTGGCCAGAGGACATCACGAGGGGTCAGGGCTTGGTTGTAGGTCTGTTCAGGTAGGGGTCATGTGACACATCAGTGTGGGGTCACTGACATCACGAGGGGGTCAGGGCTTGGCTGTAGTGTAGGTCTGTTCAGGTAGGGTCGTGTGACACATCAGTGTGGGGTCACTGACATCACGAGGGGGTCAGGGCTTGGCTGTAGTGTAGGTCTGTTCAGGTAGGGATCATTCGAGGCATTCAGTATTCAGCTCAATTGAGTGCCAAGCTGGACATAAAGAGAAAAGGGCTTGAAGAAGAAAGGTGCTGTTACTCAACATGTTAAGGTTAGGTAGGAAAAGCCATTGATTAAAATAAGCTGACATGGTAACTGTATGTGTGACAGAGAAGACAGCGTTTGGGTACATTATTTATAATAGACACTTTCAGCAATAAAACTAAATTAATTATGTATTTCACACGGTTAATACAAGAAACTAAGGCTTTGTGTGTGACATCAAAACAAGACTGCATGTATGACATCTAGTTCTGGTATTTGTGATGACATCTATTTTCAGACTGCATGTATGCCATCTAGTTCTGGTATTCGTGATGACATCTATTTTCAGACTGCCTGTATGACATCTAGTTCTGGTATTTGTGATGACATCTATTTTCAGACTATATGTATGACATCTAGTTCTGGTATTTGAGATGACATCTATTTTCAGACTGCATGTATGACATCTAGTTCTGGTATTTGTGATGACATCATTTTTCAGACTGCATGTATGACATCTAGTTCTGGTATTTGTGATGACATCTTTTTTCAGATTGCATGTATGACAGCAGAATAATCCAGGATGGGGAGAGTTTTGTGAGAAGTGGGTCGCCATGCCAACAGTGTCAGTGTACAGAGGGAAATATAGAGTGTCACCTAGGAGGGCCTTGTCCCCCACTGCCCTGCAAACTGACAGAGACACCCCAGGACCAGTGCTGCCCTCGTTGTACAGGTCAGCAGGTCTTATGACCTTGTAATGAAATAATGAAAACATCAGATACCCAATGTGATCTTAGTGACTCCTGTAAGCATGCAAGATGGATAGGTTCCAGGGTGATTTTGTGCAAAGCAATCTTAGCGCTAAGATGGTCATCACTCCCATACCTTAACACAGACTTATGACAGTCGTAGTGCTGAGGTCGTAACTCCGATACCTTAACATAGACTAACGACAGTCGTAGTGCTGAGGTCGTAGCTCCCATACCTTAACACAGACTTACAACAGTCGTAGTGCTAAGGTAAGGTTGTAACTCCCATACCTTAACATAGACTTACGACAGTCATAGCGCTGAGGTCGTAACTCCCATACCTTAACACAGACTTATGACAGTCGTAGTGCTGAGGTCGTAACTCCTATACCTTAACATAGACTTATGACAGTCGTAGCGCTGAGGTCGTAACTCCCATACCTTAACACAGACTTATGACAGTCGTAGTGCTGAGGTCGTAACTCCTATACCTTAACATAGGCTTATGACAGTCATAGCGCTGAGGTCGTAACTCCCATACCTTAACATAGACTTACGACAGTCATAGCGCTGAGGTCGTAACTCCCAATACCTTAACACAGACTTATGACAGTCGTAGCGCAAAGGTAAGGTTGTAACTCCCATACCTTAACATAGACTTATGACAGTCATAGCGCTGAAGTCGTAACTCCCATACCTTAACACAGACTTATGACAGTCGTAGTGCTGAGGTCGTAACTCCCATACCTTAACACAGACTTATGACAGTCATAGCGCTGAGGTCGTAACTCCCATACCTTAACACAGACTTATGACAGTCGTAGTGCTGAGGTCGTAACTCCTATACCTTAACATAGACTTATGACAGTCATAGTGCTGAGGTCGTAACTCCCATACCTTAACACAGACTTATGACAGTCATAGCGCTGAAGTCGTAACTCCCATACCTTAACACAGACTTATGACAGTCGTAGTGCTGAGGTCGTAACTCCCATACCTTAACACAGACTTATGACAGTCATAGCGCTGAGGTCGTAACTCCCATACCTTAACACAGACTTATGACAGTCGTAGTGCTGAGGTCGTAACTCCTATACCTTAACATAGACTTATGACAGTCATAGTGCTGAGGTCGTAACTCCCATACCTTAACACAGACTTATGACAGTCATAGCGCTGAGGTCGTAACTCCCATACCTTAACATAGACTTACGACAGTCGTAGCACTGAGGTCGTAACTCCCATACCTTAACATAGACTTACGACAGTCGTAACACTGAGGTCGTAACTCCTAAACCTTAGTATAGACTTACAACAGTCGTAGTACTGTGGTCGTAACTCCCATACCTTAACATAGACTTACGACAGTCGTAGTACTGTGGTCGTAACTCCCATACCTTATCACAGACTTACAGCAGTCGTAGTACTGTGGTCGTAACTCCCATACCTTATCACAGACTTACAGCAGTCGTAGTACTGTGGTCGTAACTCCCATACCTTATCACAGACTTACAGCAGTCGTAGTACTGTGGTCGTAACTCCCATACCTTATCACAGACTTACAGCAGTCGTAGTACTGTGGTCGTAACTCCCATACCTTAACATAGACTTACGACAGTCGTAGCACTGAGGTCGTAACTCCTAAACCTTAGTATAGACTTACAACAGTCGTAGTACTGTGGTCGTAACTCCCATACCTTAACATAGACTTACGACAGTCGTAGTACTGTGGTCGTAACTCCCATACCTTATCACAGACTTACAGCAGTCATAGTACTGTGGTCGTAACTCCCATACCTTATCACAGACTTACAGCAGTCGTAGTACTGTGGTCGTAACTCCCATACCTTATCACAGACTTACAGCAGTCGTAGTACTGTGGTCGTAACTCCCATACCTTATCACAGACTTACAGCAGTCGTGGTACTGTGGTCGTAACTCCCATACCTTATCACAGACTTACAGCAGTCGTGGTACTGTGGTCGTAACTCCCATACCTTATCACAGACTTACAGCAGTCGTAGTACTGTGGTCGTAACTCCCATACCTTATCACAGACTTACAGCAGTCGTAGTACTGTGGTCGTAACTCCCATACCTTAACAGAGACTTACAGCAGTCGTAGTACTGTGGTCGTAACTCCCATACCTTATCATAGACTTACGACAGTCGTAGTGCTGTGGTCGTAACTCCCATACCTTATCACAGACTTACAGCAGTCGTAGTACTGTGGTCGTAACTCCCATACCTTAACATAGACTTACAGCAGTCGTAGTACTGTGGTCGTAACTCCCATACCTTATCACAGACTTACAGCAGTCGTAGTACTGTGGTCGTAACTCCCATACCTTATCACAGACTTACAGCAGTCGTAGTACTGTGGTCGTAACTCCCATACCTTATCACAGACTTACAGCAGTCGTAGTACTGTGGTCGTAACTCCCATACCTTATCACAGACTTACAGCAGTCGTAGTACTGTGGTCGTAACTCCCATACCTTATCACAGACTTACAGCAGTCGTAGTACTGTGGTCGTAACTCCCATACCTTATCACAGACTTACAGCAGTCGTAGTACTGTGGTCGTAACTCCCATACCTTATCACAGACTTACAGCAGTCGTAGTGCTAAGGTTGTTTTGTACAATGACATCCTGGTAATCCTTATCATTGGACGTTTCTGTGTATAAATGCAGTTCATAGGTTTTGTAACATTGTGTATGAAAATGATGCTGTTTGGTGTGATATTAGTCATGTTGTTGGGGTCGTTGTTTACATCCACCATAACCAAATTCGGAGTACAGAAATGTACCCCAGCAAAGCTAAACTAATGGCGCTGAAGTCAGAATGAGTCTCTTTTCACGAGGCACCAAACTGCTCCCTTCTCATTTGCTGACCATCCTAGTAAATCAAATTCATGACAGTACTACAGAACCTGCATACTTGCATACTGCTGGTTGGGAATTAAGACAAACAGTTGACTCATGGCAATTTGCACGAACAACTGAATGTATGTGACGGCCAAACTCTTGTTACCTATGCCATTGATTGGCTTGTCATAAAGTCTGCAGAAGGATGCCTGTTGGTAATATTATAAGTAAGCATCAGTATAAATCAATGTGCAGTCCAGCGAGCGAGATGGTCTCTCCTTGGTGGTTAGAAAACAGGTGACAATCGAAAGTACCACCTCACCCCCCAGGTATGTGCACTAGGGCTGGGACGGGTAACTCGGGTACTCGGGTCAGGTGGGTACTGAGAAGGACCCGGTTACCCACAGGACTACCCGGACCCGTGGTTAGTCATGTGATTATATTGTATAATGGCAAAAATGATCTAGAACTCTGTCGTTACACTGTAAGTGATAAATGATCACATTTCTTCCCGACTATGCACACATTCCATCTGACTTGATATGTTTGCATAAAAAAATAAACTTTAGTGTATGCATGACCAAATCATTTTATACCTGTATCTAAATACATTTTGAAGGAGTACGGTCAAACGTTTCCCAATCGGACATTTTGTACCTATCTCTTGAGACCTACAGCGGGTACCCAGCTAAGGTCGGGTAATAGGGGACGAGGTACCCGGGTAGAAAATTTGGACTCGTCCCAGCCCTAATGTGCACAAGATACTACTGGTAAGACAACCAGGAGTAATAGTGGGGGGAGAAGTGTGCGTAAAGGGAAACAATAGGAGAAGAGTTGTGGAATATTTGGGTTTAAATATATCCGGTGACAGGGGTTTCTTTCATTGTGACTGGTCCTGACTTGTACACATTGCCCAGCATTTTGAACATACAGTAGGGTCATACAGTTCTGTAGCATAACGACCCCAACAGCATCAGTGAGCCATAATGATTTCAGAAGTGATGAATGATGAAGTCAATGATCTACCGGTGCTCATGACTGAGCAATGGTTGTGACATACACTACAGTTTTAACGAACTCAAAGGGACCACTAATTATAGTTCGTTATAACCATAGTTTGTTTTAAGCATATAAACAGCAAATACCCGAGACCCAATAAGGTTTGTTATTTCTGTCAGTTTGTTATGAGCGTGTTCGTTTTAAACATAGTTTACTGTACCTCTGGTTTCAGAGTGCACGTATGAAGGGCGGTCCTATCGCTATGGGGAGATGATCACCAAGGACAAGTGCTCTCACTGTGTGTGTCGGGAGGGTGAGTAGTTTGAATCGGATAATCCAATTTGAATACTTTACAAAATGTGGGGAATGTTTATTTTCTATGCTAATAATTTGAGAAAAGGAATGAAAAAATTGGCTGTAGCAACATTGCAACATGTAATGAGTCGATGGCCTATACTTTGTGAATAAATGATAATGATGATGATGATGATGTTGAAGTTAATATTTATGTTTTTTGTTTACAAATTAGATTAAAGCATTGCATTTGTTACTATTTCAGTTTGTAAAAATCTTATAAGGAAAACAGTGTAATGTAAATATACTACTTTAAAGAAGTTGAAGAACACTGTCTTTGACAGATGAACTATAGTCATATGAAGTAATACATATGCTCCCTGCAATTGTCTCATTCCGTGCTACAGGTCAGGTGACCTGTGATCGAGTGCCGTGCCCACAGTTGCGGTGCGCTGATCCACTGACGGTTCCAGGACAGTGCTGTCCGGTCTGCACCCGATGTGAATACTTCTCACAGTTCTATGAAGATGGTCAGACATTTGTCTCACCTCGTGATCCTTGCGAGTCCTGTGTGTGCAAAGTAAGTGAGATTCCGCGATGTTTGTTTGTTTGTTTGTTTGATATTTAACGCCGCACTTAGCAATATTCCGGCTATATGTGGGCGGTCTGTAAATAATCGAGTCTGGACCAGACAATTCAATGGTTGATATCATGAGCATCAATCTATGCAATTGGGATACAATGACATGCATCAACCAAGTCAGAGAGCCTGACCACCTAAATGGTACCTAAATGGATTGGGTGGTCAGGCTTGGGGTCTTGGTTGATTGGATGTCGTCATGACACGATGGCGTGAGATGTTCTCATTGTATCGACCATTTGTTTGTCTAGCCCATATTCAATGTTCCCTGTTCCCTGTGATCTAGCAGGGCTGTATATACTCACTAAAAAGTAATTTAAATTTTATCTTTTAATATTTAGGATAATGTGACCTTAGCTCAGTTTTCATGTGTTGTGTTAATGTTGTCCAGGGGGGCCAGGTGACCTGTCGCAGCATCAAGTCGGACTGTCCCGCCATGCAGTGCACACACCCTGGGTCTGTACGCAACCAGTGCTGCCGACAGTGTGACAGCTGCATGTATCTCCGGCGCAGGTTCCGTAACGGCCAGAAGTTCACGCCCCCTGGTGGGGACCAGTGTCAAACCTGTGTGTGCAGGGTAAGTCCCACATGTGTCTGTCTCTCCTAGCCCAGTGGGTAAAGCGTTTGCTGATTACAACTAAAGATATAAGTTTGAATTTCTGATAGGAAGTTTATAATCTTGGTCAATACTGCTATAGGCATAAATCACATTTGGTCTCTCTATTTAGCTCTTATCTGTGGTTCCAGTTGAATGTTTTAGAACGTATCTTACCATTAAATGTGATATGTTAACTTGTTGTATGCAGCAAGGCCAATTCTCAAAAAATATGTCTGTATGTCAGGTGATGCTTTTCTTGGGAATTTGTCTATGGAAAGTAAAATTTTCCATAATATGATGATGATGATGATGACAATGACGACGATGATGATGACAACAACGATGACGATGATGATGATGATGATGATGACAACGATGATGATGATGACAACGACGACGATGATGATGACAACAACGATGATGATGATGACTTTTTCGTGTATTACTTTATGATTGCATGCCATGGAAAAGCCTTTGAATGTGGTATTAATGCAATATTCTGTCCAAATCAAGGTTAAACCAAACTCGCCACATTGATGGTTTGATGTTGCAGGACGGTAGTGTGACGTGTGACAAGCTGGCGTGTCCAGAGCTCAACTGTCTCAACTCGTACACTCCAACAGGCCATTGTTGCCCGATTTGTCGCGTGTCCTGTCAGTATGGAGGCCGAGAGTATCGCGAGGGCCAGGCATTCCCCAACCCCCAGGACGAGTGTTCTGTGTGCACATGCAGGGTAAGTAGACAACACAAATGGTGTAGGTATTTACTTGTTTGACACCAAACATACTTTTCATTAGAAAGTGGTAGAGCCTCTGCCCGGAGAGTGGAAGGTCTGGGGTTCGATCCCGGGCCGCGTCATACCCAAAAACGTTAAAAAAATGGTACTTGTTGTTACCCTGTCTGGCGCTCGGCATTAAGGGACTAAAATAAGGACTGGTCGGCTAGAAGTCAGTATTCTGTGTCTGAGTGGGGTATTCATGTTAAACTGTGGCATGGTGTCTCAGTGAGCTAGCACTATAAATCGGCATCAGTCCAGACCAGTACAAGCAGCCACACACACACACACTGCACGTCGCTAATGAAGTGCAATAATTTTGGACGCGACGTTAAACCCCATTTCACCTCACCTCTCTATTAGAAGAAATTGAGCTTTTGTTTCCTCAAAAATCCATACATCATCTGTTTGATTAGCATATTTAGAAGTTGGTAAGTAAAGAAAAGACAAGATATTTTATGGATGACAACTTTTTTATCCTATTATGATGCGATGTTTTGGTGCAGATCCTAACAACGTTGTTAAGCAGGTGAAGTGAGACAGCAAAGTACAGACTTATATGTATCGAATAAGGATTTACAAAAACAACATACCGTATTCGACGTAATAAGCACCCAGGGTGCTCTCAAAATTAGAAATAGGGGGCTCTTAGTAGAATATTATTTTGGTGAAAAACAGCAGGGTTGAAAGATCATAAATTTTGTGGTTTATGTTGACAGCCTGAAATGTTTATATACGACAGATATATTTTTCCAGAATTTAATGTCCCATAATTAAGGGTGCATATAACACACGTATTACATTGATCAATGTGATACATTGATCAATCGAAAGGGGTGCTAATTGGGATTGTTCACTAGCCAATTGTTAGCAAGTATCGCTGTGGGAGCTTATTAGAGCGGGGCGCTTATTACGTCGAATACGGTAAGGATATGCATGAATGGGATTAACAACAACAAAGGATAACAGTTGATTGACATCGTGACAACAGAAGGAAGCCAACTGTCCAGGGCAGGGTTTTATTTCATTCTTGCTTGACCACAGTAAGGATCTATGCTGAACCATTGCCTCATAAGTCATAATAGAATATAAAAGTTGTCATCTATAAGGTATCTTGTCTTTACAATCAATATATCCTCGAAATCAGTGTCTATATCCTTTTTACCATTCATCCTTGATTGACCAATATATTTGTTGTTTATACGGGGGCATGGGTGGCCCAGTTGTTTAAGGCGCCGCGATTCGCTGTGCAGAGTTGCGTCCCTTGGGTACGCCAGAAACCTATGATTGTGGGTTCGAATTCGGTTCACCCCAATTATGTTTCTAGGTTTGTCAGCACCATACCCATGCTCATGGGTTTCACCGAAGTGGTAAACGTCTGAGACCTGCATCACTTCGGGCTTTCCCCCCACATTAAGCTGACACGCCGTGATATAACTGGAATACTGTTAATCTCACTCACTCACTGTTGTTTTTACAAAATGTAGGCCATAAGGTATCAGGGTGTAGGTAGGCCACTAGATATTGTATGAGTGCTTCAGTCATTTGCTGCCACTAACAGTCATCACGACCTGCAGCAATATTTACTGTACTACCTCATAACATTATCAGTCACTGAATGGGTATGTTTGAAGAAGAGGGGAGTAGATTTACACCTGGAAGGAATGGACAGGGTGGGAGGTTTGGGGTGGGATGGTTGGGGAGGCTTGATGTTGTCAAAATATTATAGTTACAAGTTTTGATCTTTTTTACTAGTTTTGATCCATATGTGGGTGGTTTTCAAAGGTTCCTTGAAGGAATGGACGGGGTGGGAGGTTTGATGAGGCTGGATGTTGTCGAGATATTTTGTTGTTTCAAGGTTTTATCCTTTTTACAAGTTCTGATATAAGCTGAATGCTAGTAATAGGAAAAAAAGTGTCACATAACAAAAACTGATCTCTTTCTTTCCAGGACAGTCGTGTAGACTGTGAGAAGCGCAAGTGTCCGTCCTCCGTGTGTCTGAACCCTGCCACTCTGCCAGGGGAGTGCTGCCCCAGCTGTGAGTTCTGCCTGTACGACCGTCGGATCTTCCGCAACCATCAGCACTTCATCCACCCCAGCAACCTGTGTGAGGAGTGCGTGTGCAACGTGAGTCGGATGCTTACTTATGTACAGGGGAGGGGGGGGGGGGGGGGGGGGGGGGGGTAGCCTAGTGGTTAAACGCCAAAGATGTGGGTTCGATTCCCCACATAGGTACAATGTGTGAAGCCCATTTCTTGTGTCCCGTGCCATGATATTGCTGGAATATTGCTAACAGCAGCGTAAAAACTAACTCACTCACTCACTTATTTACAGGGCCCCTCGTAGGGCCCTAGGTTAGAATACGTCCCCAACTCTCTATTGCTGGTCATAAGAGCGGTGTAAATTGGATAGGTTTTTGCAAAACGTTGTGTTTGTATATTATTTTTTATTTTTTTATTTATGTATACACAATGCTATGTTTCCATTGAGCATTTTTAATGAAATTTTGTGTTAAATAATTTTAAAGGAAATTTATCTAAAATAATCCTTAAATCATTTCTGTGATTTTTTGCCTCTTAACCAAGATAGTAATTCATCTAGAGTTAATTCAAAGTAGACCCAATTTATGGATAACAATTTCTTTAATATTGTAAAGGCGACGTTTCAGTATAGATAGCAAGACAACGGTATAAAGATCTATACCGAAAACGTCACCTTTACAGTATTAAAGAAATTGTTATCCTTAAATTGTGTCTACTTTGTCATCCGTCAACTTCTAAGTAATGCCTATCAAACAATTAGAGTTTGTTTGTTTGTTTGTTGTGGGTAACGCTGCACTCAGCAGTATTCCAACTGTATGACAGTGCTGTTAGTGAGTGAGTGAGTATGGTTTAACACAGCTTTTTGCAATATTCCAGCAATATCACGGTGGGGGACACCAGAAATGGGCTTCACACATTGTACCCATGTCGGGAATCGAACCCGGGACTTCGGCGTGACGAGCGAACGGTGCTGTTAGTAAACATATCTGTATCACCCCGAACATGAAACGTATTGTTAAGATAATTACAATAATGTAATTTTGCTTTCTCACAGAGTGGGTCTGTGATGTGTACCATGATAGACTGCCCCAAGCTGCCCTGTGACAACCCGATGCCCATGGCAGGCCAGTGCTGCTTCGTGTGCCCCAAGAGCTGCACGTACCAGGGTCTGTCCTATGAGGATGGGCAGACGTTCCGCAGTCCACGGAACAAGTGTGAAGAGTGTCTGTGTCGTCAAGGTCGTGTCCAGTGTCAGCGGGACTCCTGTGCGCCGGTGTCGTGTCGTCACCCAGCAGAGGAGGGCTGCTGTCGTGTTTGCAACAGTATGTGTTACACTGGGGGAAACTAGGGACAGTTTACAGTCTGTTAGTGGGATACAGTGAAGGAATAATTTGTCAGTGTCAGACGTAGTCTGTTGGGTTGTTGATAACTGTTCCTTGTGGGGATTCTTGTTGGGGATTGCTCCCCCTTGTCACTGAAATGGCCAAGCTCCCTCCCAGCGCATGACACCTTCGTTACACTCTTGGTAACATCTCTGCCACCAGTGTGGGCATGGCCATTACAAGAATCTTGAAATTTGCCCTCTAACCCCATTTAGTAACTTTTGTTTATGTCTTTGAGAATGCCATCATATTTCATTTTGAAAAGGTTTACGACTGACCATGTTTTCCAGATGAATTTACTTTGTTGTTTTAATAATCAGATTGGTTCGAGATTGCAGACTAACAGAAAATCAATCAACTTCTCCCTTACATTCTTATTATATCAATTAAAGATGATACTTTTAATGAAATAGAAATTCAAGTTGACAAACAAAGAAAGTAATTTATCAGCGGTAAGTGTATTCAGCGTCACGACAGTTGTCACTTGTTTGTAAACATAACGGTCATTCGGTTGCGAGTTCAACTCCAAGCATGGTTGGGGCCACCTATCACAGTGGGGAGTTTTGCCTGGAGGCAGCGATAGTATAGAGAGCTCCCCATACGGACTATCGCTGTGAGGAGCTTGTGAAATGGCATCCTCGATTATCCAGTGTGTCAGTCCCAATTCTGTTATGATATATGGGTGGGGTGGTTGGTGCCTAGCGGTTAAAACATTTGCTCATCACACCGAAAAGACCCAGGATCGATTCTCCAAATGGGTACAATGTTTGAAGTCCATTTCTGGTGTCCCCCACCATGATACTGGAATATTGCTGAAAGCAGGGTAAAACAATACTCACTCACTCACTTCGATATATGGACAGATTTACCGTCTTAGCTTAGTTTTGATGCTGGTTTGATTGACACGACCCTAAAGTATCAAAGACAAGTAAATTTGCACTGTTTTTTCTACCTCCCAATCTACCCTGTCAACAGGTGATACATACTGTATTCGACGTAATAAGCGCCCCGCTCTAATAAGCGCCCACGGCGATATTTACTAATATACTAGCTAGTGAACAATATCAGTTAGCACCCCTTCCGATTGATCAATGTACACAACACTTTTTTATTCGCGTATAATACGTACTTGTGTGTTATATACACCCTTATTTATGGGCAATTAAATTCTGGAAAAATGTATCTCGCGTATATAAACATTTCAGGCACGAAATTTGATCTTTCAACTTTCACCAAAATAATATTTTAATAAGTGCCCCCTATTTCTAATTTTGAGAGCGCCCTGGGCGCTTATTACATCGAATACAGTATATGTATCCTTTCTGGATTACCCCGGGGAGATTCCGAGGCAGAATATATGTCCCCTGTTCTCCATGCTTGTCGTAAGCCAACTAATTTGGGTTTCAGTTCATGATCTAGTTGATTGTATTTTGTTGGAACCAAATGCCCTGGAGTTTTAGCTCACCTGATTTGATACCAGGGCACTCAAGTTTGTTCAAGGCATCACAATTGAAATTTCAATATGGTCGGCATGTAGCCATCTTTGATTTTAATAAAAATACTCTCCATGAAAACCAGGATCATGACACTTGTTGTGTGAAAGGGCCACCTTATGTGGTACCGAACTGTTTCAGGGCATCTTGATTGGAAGTCAGGGGGCACGGGTGGCCCAGTCGTCTAAGGCTTCGCTGTGAAGAGCTGCGTCCCTTGGGCACGCCAGAAACCTATGATTGCGGGTTTGAATCCCGGTTCGCCCCGATTATGTTTCTAGGTTTGTCAGCACCATACCCGTGCTCGTGGGTTTCACCGAAGTGGTAAACGTCTGAGACCTGCATCACTTTGGGCTTTCCTCCCACATTAAGCTGACACGCCGTGATAAAACTGGAACGATGTTAAAAGCGGCGTTAAACCCAACTCACTCACTCACTCACTGATTGGAAGTCAAATTTGTATTTGTTGCCATGTTGTAAAATATGAAAGACAATGATGTTTTTCATGATGTTTTAATTTTCAATAGCATTTTAAACAGTTGCAAAATATTTGTTGTCAGTTAGAATATTTCCTCAATTCCAGATTGTTTCTACAAAACTCAGTTATGGCGCAACGGCCAGAAGTTCCCGGACCCCCAGGACGAGTGTTCAAAATGCCGATGTCAAAATGGAGAAGTGTCATGCCAACGGCAGCAGTGTCCCCCTGTATCATGTCGAAACCCTGTCATGGAGAACTGCTGTCCAGTATGCAGGGAGTGTGAGTACCAAGGCCGGAGAATCGGCAGCGGGCAGACATTTACCCGTGTCGGTGGGAGCTGTGAGACGTGTGTCTGCGTGGAGGGTAACGTGGAGTGTCAGCGGAAGATGTGCCAGGAGGTCACATGCCGACACCCCATTGAACGCGACTGCTGTAAGGAGTGTACGGACTGTTTCTACCATGGCCGGGCCTTCAGCAGTGGCCAGTCCTTCCCGGACACCCAGGATCGGTGCAAGGACTGTCGGTGTATATCCGGGAGCGTCACTTGTGAGCGGCGTGCTTGCCCCCGAGCTCCATGCAAGAACCCGGTGAAGACGCCAGGTCACTGCTGCCCCCGCTGCTCCGACTGTGATCACGAAGGTCAACAAGTGCGGAATGGTCTTCGAGTGCCACATACGTCAGACCCATGTATGGAGTGTGAGTGCCGACGTGGCAACATGGACTGCTTTGAGAGAAGGTGTCCTGATGCTGTCTGCCGCAACCCCGTTACGCGAGGTTGTTGCCAGGAGTGTGGTGACTGTTTATATGAAGGCAAGGAGTACAGCAACAGACAGACGTTCCTGGACCCGACAGACCGCTGTAAGGCCTGCAACTGCGTGGACGGCGACATCATCTGCTCACCGAAGCAGTGCCCGCGGGTCACGTGTTTGAACCCCATGCAAGGGGAGTGTTGCCAGGAGTGCTCCAACTGTCTTTTCCAGGGTGCCGTGTACGACAATGGCCAAGAGTTCCCAGACTCGGCCGATACCTGCAGCTCCTGCTATTGCAAGTCTGGCACCGTGGAGTGCATTAGGAAACCGTGTGCAGATATTGTGTGCTCTCATCCAATCAGAGATGGTTGTTGTCCGGTGTGTGATCGAGGCTGCCAGTTTGAGGGCCGGGATTATCGTGACAAGGAGAAGATTGAGCGTGACTGCCAGGTGTGCACATGTACAGCTGGGAACATGAGGTGTTTCCCCAAGTACTGTCCACCGGTCAAATGCTCCAACCCGGTCACTGTGGACTGCTGCCCGGTCTGTGGAGACTGCATGTTTGAAGACAGGAAGTTCCGCAACGGCCAGACGTTCCCCAACGTGAAGGATCCGTGCAGTGAGTGTGTGTGCAGGGTGAGGGCATGTTGGAAGGTCCATTATTATACTGTAGTCAATGTGTTACATGGCTTGTCACAGATTATGTATGCAGCAACAGTGTCACAGATTATTTGTTCAAATGTATGTAGTGTGATAGATCATGTGTTTAGCTACTAAATCACAGATTCTGTCTTCAGCTACGAAGTCACAGATTCTGTCTTCAGCTACCAAATCACAAATTATGAATTCAGCTTCTAAGTCAGAGATTATTAATTCAGCAGCTACTAAGTCACAGATTATGAATTCAGCTACTGAGTCACAGATTATGAATTCAGCTTCTAAGTCACATATTCTGTCTTCAGCTACTAAGTCACAGATTCTGTCTTCAGCTACCAAATCACAAATAACGAATTATGTCGTAAGTCAGTGTTAAAGAAAGGGAGTTACAATCACTTTAGCGCTAAGATCGCATTGTGGCACGGGGCCCTGGTAAGCTGCTTCCATGTCAGATACCTTACAATGCTATTGTCAAAGTAGACACAATTTATGGATAACAACCTCTTCATTTACTGTAAAGGTGAAGTTTTGGTATAGATCCTTATACCATTGTCCTTGCTTGACAACGGTACAAGGATCTCTACCAAACGTATATACAGGAAGTCATGACAGATTATTTTATTTGTTTTTTTGTTTGTTGCACTAGCAATATTCCAGCTATATGAAGGTGATCTGTAAATAGGCGAGTCTGGACCAGACAATCCAGTGATTGACATCATGAGCATAGATCCACGCAATTGCGATACGATGTCATGACAATTAAGCACTACAGATCCAAAAACGTCATCTTACCCCTTTCAAGTTTGTTGGAGGTCATAACATCCACTATGATATGTCTGAACTAAAGAAGTTGTTATCTATAAATTGTGTCTACTTTGTCACCCGTCTACTTCTAAGTAATGCCTATCAAGCAATTGATGTCATGTCCTCCAGGATGGAACATTCAAGTGCAGCAGGAAGTCCTGTCCAGCCCCCAAATGTCCAAACCCTGCACAAGGTCAGTGCTGTCCCGAGTGTCGGAACTGTGATCTCAACGGGAAGATGGTGTCACATGGCCATCGATTCCCGTCTGAGACAGATCCATGCAGTACGTGTGTATGTCAGGTGAGAACAGTTCACACTCTAAGAGTACCCCATGTATTCCTAAACTAAGTCAGAAATAGCAGTACAAACAATTTCTCTCAAATCTTATGGTGATTCAGTAAAAAAAAAAATCAATAATATCATTAATTTGATGCAATGATCGGAAGAAATTGTTTGTGTATGAACTAACTATGCAGCAACAAATGTTATATTTGGAATAACACTTCTGGGTAAAGTACAGATTCTCGTACTTTTTGGGGTTGAGTCCCGTCCGGGATTCAAACCCACACTTGCCAGAGTGAGGCACCTAATCGCCAGCACACAAAGTCAGCAATCTAACCACTCAGCCACCGAGGCTTCCACAAAAATGAAAGTCCGACAACTGGTGGTCTAGATCAGGTACTTTGTGTACCCCTCTGACAAGTGTGAATTGGCACGGCTCCCATGGCAATGTGGTGTCTGCATGAGCAGAGCTTCTTTGAGCTACTGTAATGCTGGAAACTGGCAGACGACAGCATGTAGTGGCCAATATGTTGAATGTTTCACAATCTGAGATTAACAGAGTATGGAACATGTACCAACAAACACAAAATGTTGACGATCGTCCCCATTCAGGGTGTCCCAGGTAAACGACCAGAGTACAGTATCGATTCATCCCAAACCAGGCTCGATGAAGTTGAGTGAATGAAATTTGCTGCAAACCTTCATTCGGCTTCTGGAGTATATGAAGTTATGGCTCAGATGATGAGAAATTGTCTACATGCCGCTCATCTCCATGCTCAGTGGCCATGTGATGTACCATCCCTGTATATACAGATCATCTTATTGTCATCAGACGTCAAGGGTGTACACACTGAGTAGTTGTTGCTGGTCATGTGTAATGTTTTCAGAAGAATGCTGATTCACTTTGCACTTGCTTGACAGGCATGGTCGTGTGTTGCAACGTCAAAATGAATGTCAAGCCAATGTCATCCTTAGCATTACTCAGCAATATTCCAGCTATATGACAATCCAGTGATTGACATCATGAGCATCGATCCACGCAATTGGGATACGATGTCAGGATAGATTAAAAAACGTCATCTTACCCCCTTTAAGCACATCCACTATGGGATATGATGTCAGGATAGATTAAAAAACATCATCTTACCCCCTTTAAGCACATCCACTATGGGATACGATGTCAGGATAGATTAAAAAACATCATCTTACCCCCTTTAAGCACATCCACTATGGGATACGATGTCAGGAAAGATTAAAAAACATCATCTTACCCCCTTTAAGCACATCCACTATGGGATATAATGTCAGATTAGATTAAAAAACGTCATCTTACCCCCTTTAAGCACATCCACTATGGGATACGATGTCAGGATAGATTAAAAAACGTCATCTTACCCCCTTTAAGCACATCCACTATGGGATACGATGTCAGGATAGATTAAAAAACGTCATCTTACCCCCTTTAAGCACATCCACTATGGGATACAATGTCAGGATAGATTAAAAAAAGTCATCTTACCCCTTTTAAGCACATCCACGATGGGATACGATGTCAGGATAGATTATAAAACGTCATCTTACCCCCTTTAAGCACATCCACTATGGGATACAATGTCAGGATAGATTAAAAAAAGTCATCTTACCCCTTTTAAGCACATCCACGATGGGATACGATGTCAGGATAGATTATAAAACGTCATCTTACCCCCTTTAAGCACATCCACTATGATACGACACTACAGGTTGTAAGGTGTTCCCAATGCGTTCATTATCATCATACCACTATAACAAGAAACAAATATCCCTTACAATGTTGGAAATTTTAAGTGATTTCCATGTATCCCCTACTTTTTGTGAAGGATATATATTTAATATAATAATAATCAGTGGTAATCTGATTGTGGTTGGTATTTGCCAAAATTAATGTAAGTTATTTAAATGAAATATAGAACACACTTGGGATAGCGGTTATACCAACTTAAAAAATCCAACAACCATCTATTCCACATCACGATTTATTGAGCAGCAGTGGTAACAAGTACAATATAATAAGTCATTCAAATACTAATGGACATACGGTGAGTTTTTTACAGAGAACTCCACTCAGCACTAATAATTAAGGTTATATTAAATACATCCAAGGTGAGCCTCACTGAAACCATTTTCTCTACATTCATTTTAGGTGAGGTCACATTCATATTCAGTCACTTTTTTGGCTAGGGGTCACGAAAATTTTTAAATTAAAAATAATTTCCAAGATTCGAATCTTATTTGTTTGGCAGCTTGGGACGATCAACTGTGACCGTCGCACATGTGACAAAGTGTCATGTGACCACCCTGTGATTGATTCCTGTGGATGCTCATCTTGTCGTCAGTGCAGCTACCGGAACACGACGTACCGACACAATCAAGAATTCCGAAACCCAGATGATAAATGTTCGTCCTGCCAGTGTAGGGTAAGTTATTTTCATTTGTTGCAGTCATCATCAATCTTGTCCAGTGACGGTATAGAATGTGGTGAAAAGGACCCTCATGTATTCCAAATCAACCCTACAATACCAGAGCAGAGGTGAAGTGTTTACAGTTTACATGAGAAATGTTTGTGATTTTATCTAAAACATGAACTAGGGTCACTTCCTCACCCCAGTATCAAACTGTGATAGCTCATGTAAATGGCCATCACGGGAATGATACCAGTGTTGCAAGTAGATGCTGTTGTAGGAAATGTAGAAGTGCTTTCTCTTCAAATCCTAGCATCATAAAGTGCTAGTGGCTTTCTACACTTGCATAAGACGATACCAGGACTGGAAAGAAATTTGGAACTTGTGAGAAATGGAGCTTCTTGGAATAAGAACTACTGGATGGCAGTTGTGAAGGACTGCTTTGAACCCCAGCATCTGGAAGTGCTAGTTGTTATAATTCACAAGCACAATCAGATACTCGGATACGTGGCAATGTTAGATTGTGAGGATGGAGTGGACAAAGGGACACTTCCTTACCCAAGTTTCATACTGTGATAGCACTTGGCCAATGGCCATCACGGGAATGATACCAGAGAAGAGAAATTTGCTTGTGATCTCTTGCTTGTAGACTGTAAGGCTTGGTCTAGGGATGTGGCCAATGCTAACCAAGAATCCTAGCATCAAAAAGTGCTAGTAGTTGTCTTCAACTCGCACTAGATGATACCAGGATCCAAAGTAAGCAGGTTAGATGAAGAAAAGTACTCCCCAGTACCCCAGTATCAAACTGTGATAACATTGAACTAGTCATCACAAGAAAGATACGAGAGAACAGAGGAATAGTGTTACAAGTAGATGGTGTTGTAGGAAATGTAGAAGTGCTTTCTCTTCAAATCCTAGCATCATAAAGTGCTAGTGGCTTTCTACACTTGCACACGACGATACCAGGACTTGAAAGAAATTTGGAACTTGTGAGAAATGGAACTTCTTGGAATAAGAGCTACTGGATGGCAATTGTGAAGGACTGCTTTGAACCCCAGCATCTGGAAGTGCTAGTTGTTATAATTCACAAGCACAATCAGATACTCGGATACGTGGCAATGTTAGATTGTGAGGATGGAGTGGACGAGAGGGACACTTCCTTACCCCAGTATCATACTCTGATAGCACATGCCAATGGCCATCACGAGAATGATACCAGAGAAAAATTTGCTTGTGATCTGTTGCTTGTAGACTGTAAGGCTTGGTCTAGGGATGTGGCCAATGCTAACCAAGAATCCTAGCATCAAAAAGTGCTAGTAGTTGTCTTCAACTTGCACTAGATGATACCAGGATCCAAAGTAAGCAAGAGTCAGGTGAAGAATAGTACTCCCCAGTACCCCAGTATCAAACTGTGATAACAATGAACTAGTCATCACAAGAAAGATACGAGAGAACAGAGGAATAGTGTTACAAGTAGATGCTGTTGTAGGAAATATAAAGTGCTTTCTCTTCAAATCCTAGCATCATAAAGTGCTAGTGGCTTTCTACACTTGCACAAGACGATACCAGGACTGGAAAGAAATTTGGAACTTGTGAGAAATGGAGCTTCTTGGAATAAGAACTACTGGATGGCAATTGTGAAGGACTGCTTTGAACCCCAGCATCTGGAAGTGCTAGTTGTTATAATTCACAAGCACAATCAGATACTCGGATACGTGGCAATGTTAGATTGTGAGGATGGAGTGGACGAGAGGGACACTTCCTTACCCCAGTATCATACTGTGATAGCACATGCCAATGGCCATCACGAGAATGATACCAGAGAAGAGAAATTTGCTTGTGATCTGTTGCTTGTAGACTGTAAGGCTTGGTCTAGGGATGTGGCCAATGCTAACCAAGAATCCTAGCATCAAAAAGTGCTAGTAGTTGTCTTCAACTTGCACTAGATGATACCAGGATCCAAAGTAAGCAGGTCAGAAGAAGAAAAGTACTCCCCAGTACCCCAGTATCAAACTGTGATAACATTGAACTAGTCATCACAAGAAAGATACGAGAGAACAGAGGAATAGTGTTACAAGTAGATGCTGTTGTAGGAAATGTAGAAGTGCTTTCTCTTCAAATCCAAGCATCATAAAGTGCTAGTGGCTTTCTACACTTGCACAAGACGATACCAGGACTGGAAAGAAATTTGGAACTTGTGAGAAATGGAGCTTCTTGGAAAGAGAACTACTGGATGTCAGTTGTGAAGGACTGCTTTGAACCCCAGCATCTGGAAGTGCTAGTTGTTATAATTCACAAGCACAATCAGATACTCGGATACGTGGCAATGTTAGATTGTGAGGATGGAGTGGACGAGAGGGACACTTCCTTACCCCAGTATCATACTGTGATAGCACATGCCAATGGCCATCACGGGAATGATACCAGAGAAGAGAAATTAGCTTGTGATCTGTTGCTTGTAGACTGTAAGGCTTGGTCTAGGGATGTGGCCAATGCTAACCAAGAACCCTAGCATCAAAAAGTGCTAGTAGTTGTCTTCAACTTGCACTAGATGATACCAGGATCCAAAGTAAGCAAGAGTCAGGTGAAGAAAAGTACTCCCCAGTACCCCAGTATCATACTGTGATAGCACATGCCAATGGCCATCACGGGAATGATACCAGAGAAGAGAAACTTGCTTGTGATCTGTTGCTTGTAGACTGTAAGGCTTGGTCTAGGGATGTGGCCAATGCTAACCAAGAATCCTAGCATCAAAAAGTGCTAGTAGTTGTCTTCAACTTGCACTAGATGATACCAGGATCCAAAGTAAGCAAGAGTCAGGTGAAGAAAAGTACTCCCCAGTACCCCAGTATCAAACTGTGATAACATTGAACTAGTCATCACAAGAAAGATACGAGAAACAGAGGAATAGTGTTACAAGTAGATGCTGTTGTAGGAAATGTAGAAGTGCTTTCTCTTCAAATCCTAGCATCATAAAGTGCTAGTGGCTTTCTACACTTGCACAAGACGATACCAGGACTGGAAAGAAATTTGGAACTTGTGAGAAATGGAGCTTCTTGGAATAAGAGCTACTGGATGGCAATTGTGAAGGACTGCTTTGAACCCCAGCATCTGGAAGTGCTAGTTGTTATAATTCACAAGCACAATCAGATACTCGGATACGTGGCAATGTTAGATTGTGAGGATGGAATGGACGAGAGGGACACTTCCTTACCCCAGTATCATACTGTGATAGCACATGCCAATGGCCATCACGGGAATGATACCAAAGAAGAGAAATTTGCTTGTGATCTGTTGCTTGTAGACTGTAAGGCTTGGTCTAGGGATGTGGCCAATGCTAACCAAGAATCCTAGCATCAAAAAGTGCTAGTAGTTGTCTTCAACTTGCACTAGATGATACCAAGATCCAAAGTAAGCAAGAGTCAGGTACTCCCCAGTACCCCAGTATCAAACTGTGATAACATTGAACTAGTCATCACAAGAAAGATACGAGAGAACAGAGGAATAGTGTTACAAGTAGATGGTGTTGTAGGAAATGTAGAAGTGCTTTCTCTTCAAATCCTAGCATCATAAAGTGCTAGTGGCTTTCTACACTTGCACAAGACGATACCAGGACTGGAAAGAAATTTGGAACTTGTGAGAAATGGAACTTCTTGGAATAAGAACTACTGGATGTCAGTTGTGAAGGACTGCTTTGAACCCCAGCATCTGGAAGTGCTAGTTGTTATAATTCACAAGCACAATCAGATACTCGGATACGTGGCAATGTTAGATTGTGAGGATGGAGTGGACGAGAGGGACACTTCCTTACCCCAGTATCATACTGTGATAGCACATGCCAATGGCCATCACGGGAATGATACCAGAGAAGAGAAATTAGCTTGTGATCTGTTGCTTGTAGACTGTAAGGCTTGGTCTAGGGATGTGGCCAATGCTGACCAAGAATCCTAGCATCAAAAGTGCTAGTAGTTGTCTTCAACTTGCACTAGATGATACCAGGATCCAAAGTAAGCAAGAGTCAGATGAAGAAAAGTACTCCCAAGTACCCCAGTATCAAACTGTGATAACATTGAACTAGTCATCACAAGAAAGATACGAGAGAACAGAGGAATAGTGTTACAAGTAGATGCTGTTGTAGGAAATGTAGAAGTGCTTTCTCTTCAAATCCTAGCATCATAAAGTGCTAGTGGCTTTCTACACTTGCACAAGACGATACCAGGACTGGAAAGAAATTTGGAACTTGTGAGAAATGGAGCTTCTTAGAATAAGAACTACTGGATGGCAGTTGTGAAGGACTGCTTTGAACCCCAGCATCTGGAAGTGCTAGTTGTTATAATTCACAAGCACAATCAGATACTCGGATACGTGGCAATGTTAGATTGTGAGGATGGAGTGGACGAGAGGGACACTTCCTTACCCCAGTATCATACTGTGATAGCACATGCCAATGGCCATCACGGGAATGATACCAGAGAAGAGAAATTTGCTTGTGATCTGTTGCTTGTAGACTGTAAGGCTTGGTCTAGGGATGTGGCCAATGCTAACCAAGAATCCTAGCATCAAAAAGTGCTAGTAGTTGTCTTCAACTTGCACTAGATGATACCAGGATCCAAAGTAAGCAGGTCAGAAGAAGAAAAGTACTCCCCATACCCCAGTATCAAACTGTGATAACATTGAACTAGTCATCACAAGAAAGATACGAGAGAACAGAGGAATAGTGTTACAAGTAGATGGTGTTGTAGGAAATGTAGAAGTGCTTTCTCTTCAAATCCTAGCATCATAAAGTGCTAGTGGCTTTCTACACTTGCACAAGACGATACCAGGACTGGAAAGAAATTTGGAACTTGTGAGAAATGGAGCTTCTTGGAATAAGAATACTGGATGTCAGTTGTGAAGGACTGCTTTGAACCCCAGCATCTGGAAGTGCTAGTTGTTATAATTCACAAGCACAATCAGATACTCGGATACGTGGCAATGTTAGATTGTGAGGATGGAGTGGACGAGAGGGACACTTC